TCTTTGGGCACGCACACGATTATTGTTTTAGTTACTGTTTTTTTGTTCAGGCATAAATTGTGTTCGTCTGATTAATCTTGTGCCGGAAAAAAAAAACACACCTCTTTTTGCCCCGACGCCTTTAACCTCCCGGTGAAGGGCCAACGGCCAACGGTGCACAAGCATCCGCATTCTCGGCCACGCCGCTTCCCCTCGGTATTCCTCTACCCAGTCGACAGACCTCACAATGTCGTTCTGGGGCAGCAAGAAGACGGCAGTCCCGCCCCGGCCCCCCGTCACAGCACCACCGATCCCACGCTCCGGCCCGGAAATCGATGCCACGACCATCATCTCGCTGCTCGCGGTACTGGCCCTACTCGGCGGCGCCTACGCGGCATCGCTGCGCGCACTGCCCCGGACGGCAACGTCCAAGACGCGTATCCTGTTCATCTGGCACCTGTTTGACGCGCTCGTGCACTTTTGCTTCGAGGGCTCTTTTTTGTGGAATTGCTTCTTCGTCACGTATAGTCTGCCCACGTCGTTTTCCGCCGCCAGCAGACACTATCCGCTCGTCACGCTGTTCACGCCGCCGGACGTGTACTGGCTCGGGCGCAGGGACTTGTTGTACGGTGCAAACTATGGGACGGGGCCGTTGAGTCGGTTGTGGCAGGAGTATGCCAAAGCGGATAAGAGGTGGGGGGGCGTGGATTTGACGGTGGTGACGTTGGAGCTGTTGACGGTGTTTGTGGCCGGCCCATTGGCCTTGTTCATCGCCTACCTGTTGACAAAGGATGCGAGAAAGGGCGGACTGAAGAAGTACTTTTGGATGATTGTCCTGGCCACGGCGGAGATATATGGAGGTAAGTCAATTCAATCATGCGCCCACGCCCTCCCCCATATGTTGTTTTTTTCCTTACCGCTCCGATCATGCTTTTGCCCAGTTTTTATTTTTGCTTCTTTCCTTATCGCCAGGTACCCGGTTGGCATGTGAGTTCTCATTCGATTGGTGAGGCGGAGGGCTGCAGTGTGGGTCCCCCCCTGCATTGTTGAGGCGTTGTTGAGGCGTTGTTGAGGCTGGTGTGTTATTGCTCGAGTCCTCCATCATCAGGCTGACACGTGGTTCACCGCTACACTTCCCAGGCTGGATGACTTTTGCCCCTGAGTGGTTCACCGGCAGTCCGAATCTCGACACGTCGAATTGGATGTATCTGTACGTTCTTGTTTTCTTTCACGCTGATCTCTCGCTCCAGCCCTATCTTGCACGCACATCCATCCAGCCCCCCAATCCCCCAATTTCCCACAAAAATCATCAATCTGCCTCTCACTCCTCCCTCTCTTTCCCAAGCCCAAAACATCCCCAAGCCACATGCGCTGGCCCTGCATACGCGCTGGCCTACGGGTGGATGCGGCATCTCCCACGGACCCACATGGTTCGACTCTCCATGCCAAAATATCCACACACCGCTATCTTGCATACCATCGCGCCTCACTCTTGCCTTTGTCTTTGCGAGAAATAATGGCACTGGGATGGGAGACGTGAAATGTGAGATTGCATCTGGCTACACCATTGCCTTGAATCTTGCTTTCCACCACCACCACCATCTCACCATTGCAAAACCAAACTACCCAACTATCCCTCCACAACTTGAACTTGATCTAAATCTAAAATCAAACAGCTACCTCTACCTCATCTTCTTCAACGGCCTCTGGCTCGTCTTCCCGGCTTGGATCCTTGTCGAGGCTTATCGCGCGCTGGATGCGGGTATGTCGCAGGCGGAAATGGTGGATTTGGTGGCGTATTTGAAGGTTGGGAAGGCGGAGTGAGGGGGGGATGAGGGGGAGATGGGGAGAGGCAAGGAAGGATATGGTGGGTATGGATGATGTTGGATGTTGAAGACGTGTATGTTTACATACATACATGCACATGCACACATACATACACACAGTGGGAGAGAGAGAGAGAGAGAGAGGGATACACACACATACATACTCACATCAACAAACCTAACCCCCCACCCCCATTCATACACAACAACAACACTCTCCCTACAACTACCACACACCCCCACGCTCACTCCTCCCCTACCCCCCGTCCATCAACCCCTAACACGCCCACTACGTCTCGCAGGCACTGCACCATTTGCCGGACTCTGCACCCCCTTTTCTTTCACCTCCTTGCCCTTTGCCCTCCCCTCCTCCTTCTCCCTCCCCTTTGCCCTCCCCTCCTCCTTCGCCCTCCCCTTCGCCACTCCCCTCCCCCCAGCCCCCCTCGCACCCACACCTGCTCCACGCTTCGCCGCAGCCGGAGACGACGACGCGCCGTTTCGGCGAGGAAGCGTAGCAGGTCTCGATCTTGTTGTTTTTCTCGTCTTCTGTGCGAGTGGTGGTTCGGATGCCGGTTCGGGTTCGGGTTGAGATGCGTGCCCGGCTTCTTGTTCCTGTTCGGGATTGGAAGCGGAGTCTGGGTCGGAGAGGTCGGAGGTGGGGGGTTGATTTTGATCTTCGTCTTCGTCTTCGTCTTCATCGTGAGGTTGATGTTGGTGTTGGTGTTGATGTTGGTCTTGTGATGAGGCCTCAGGATCCATCATGTCGACATCTTGGGCTGGTGATTCTTCTCTGACGTCTTCTTCCTGCTCCTCCTCCTCCTCCTCGTCGTCGTGTTCCTGAGCCCCAGCTTGGGCGTCATCATCATCGCTAGAGACTTCAACGTAGCTCTTATGCGCAGTGCTGCGTCTATCGCTCTTACGTCTAGGCCCGCTCAACGGCACAGTCGCGCGGTCAACCTCGCTCTCGTCATCGTCGTGTGTATTGCGCTTCTTCCGCGGCGTCTTGACAGGGCGCTCTGCTTTTGCCTTCTTCTCCTTGACCGGTCGCTCAGTCTTTGGCTTCTTGCGCGGCTTGTCTGCGTCATCGGACGTCTTTCGCTTCTTGCTCCGAATCGCCTTGCGCACGAGCGGGTCCAGCTCTTCGACCAGATCCTCGCTGATCCACACCTTCTTCGCAATCTGCTGCGCCTTCTCGTGGCTCTCGAGTGGGCGGAAGATGCCAGAGGGAAGCTTCATTTTTCCCGGCCAGGACTGCATCGTCCAGCCGTTTTGCTCCTCCCACGATCGTATCAGTGCCTGTGCGAGATCGGACAAGATGTACAGTCTCTCGTCGGCTTCGTCTGATGGCGCAATCCCATCCGCAACCCCCTTGACGCGCTGTGCGACGTGGAAAATGAGCGACAGATTCTCCTCGGTTGCTACGCATTTCAGGTAGTAGAGAATGTACTCTGACATGAGCTTCAACGTCTCGTCGTCCTTGTCAAAGTCTGGGTGGTGCGCAATCAGACTGAGCAGGCGAGCAAAGACCGTCTCGAGAATCGTTTCCTTGCGTGCTGCAAACGCAGCTCTCCGCGACCGGATCCAGGTCATTGTGCTGTTCTTGATCGTCTTCTCGGGCTCGTATGCGCAAAAGAACAGAATGGTGTAGAATCGTGGAGGAAGACGACCCTGTCCAAGGTACTTCATCAATTTCTCCGAAAAGCCCTTGCGTACTTGGGCGCATGGATCATGTGTGACCAAAGCAAGCTGTATGAAGTCTGCGGGCGTCAGGAAGCTATCGAGCCGCCTGTTGCAGGATAGCTTCAACAAGGAAGTGGCTGCGAGGAGGAGTTGACGGGATTTATGCCCTGCTGGGGTACTTCCATCCTCTGAACCCTCCCCGTGGTTCTTGACAAACCGGTTAAGAAGGGCATACGTATCCTCTGCAGCCTCGTTCAGAGCCGATTCGGCGGGCAGGGACCGCAGACGATTGACAAGAATCTTGACGGCCCATGCTCTGCCTTGAATGTCCTCGTCCGGCTCGTCCATCCACTCCGCGTCGGCTTCGGGTGCGGCATGATGAGGCACTTGAAGTACCTTTTGAATCGCAATCTCGACAATCTTGTCCATGTCGTCTTCGCACTCGGACTGAGCTAGCAGGACGAGCTGGCTAAGCGCGGCAAGCTTTGTGAGCCAGTGATCGCCTTCGTACTTGAAACCCTTGATACTCTTCGCCAATAGCTCCTTGGCGTGCAGCTCCTTCTTGTCGTCGCTGTTCATGATGATGGTGATGGCATGCTTTGCAGCTTGAGGTGGTGTCCCATATTGTGCAAAGTTAAGAAAACTCTGAACCAGTTTTCGACCGTCTTTGGTGTTCATGGGGATATCAGTCGGGAACTTCTTGGCGAATGCGGCACAGGCTTTGAGATCGTCCACCGCCCCGGGGGGATTTGGCGCCTTCGCCGTGGGCGCCTCACTTTCCAGTGTCCGACAAAGATCTTTCACATGCGTTGAGAAGACTTTAGGGTGATTTGTAGAAATCTCCTTCAACAGCTCATGGGCAGTGGCTCCTAGCTCCTTGTCGTTTGTACGTGTGAACTCGATGACAGCGGGTACATGGCTCTTGTTGTAGCACAGAAGGCTAGCCCTGTACAATAGAGGGTTTAATGTGTCGAGCAGCGACGCGCCAGGTCCGGATTCAATTCTCTTGCGGAGTTCTTTCTGATGTGTCTATTAGTTTTGCAAAAAAAAAAAGGAAATTTTGCGCTTACAATTGATCGGAACACCTTGCGGTACTCGCTCGCAGGATCCTTGCAGAATCGTATCAAGGCGTACGCTCGGCGATCATGAGTTTTGGCAAACTTCCACAAGTCATCTCGAGCGCGAGTTGGATCTGGAAGTGTGTTTGCGTAGTATGTTATCAGGCCCTCCAGCTTGGTTTTGACGTCCTTGTCGCCTTTTGCAACGACACCGCCGTTGTAATCCTCGCAGCATTTCAGAAAATGTTCCATGAACTCAGCAGCCCTGACTTGGTTGAACTGCTTGGCAAAGAAAACCTTCTTTCCCTTCTCATCCAGCCCCTTGACCAGGACCAGCTGCCTCTCAGCTCGCATTTTGTCCAGCTCCGCTTCAGTGTAACCTTGTTCAGCATTCGATTGACTGTCTTTTACCACCTGTGAGTTCCCACTAGAGGCTGCTCTTGCCTTCATCGGTGGGTACCCAAGCGGAAGTAAGGAATCAAACAGTGCCAGATCAACTTGAACATTGATTTCTGCATCGTTGGCATAACATGCTCCCAGGATTCGTGATGGTATCGGACCAAGCAGGTTTTTGATGGTATCGTCGCCTTCGACAATAGCTCCGAATGCCACTCCCCATACCTTTCCTAGTAGTCGCAGAGACTCGGAGTGAATTACACTCTTCTTATCTTTGACCCTGTCGGCGAGATTCGCGAGTATAGAGCCCGGCTCTGACATGCTTCCATTGCTACCCAGTTTTCGTACTATGTCGCTAAAGTTGAAGTGCTCGACAGCTTTCACTGCTGCCAAACGCACCTTGTCGTCGCTATCAATCAGACATTCAGCAAAGCTCTTCAGCAGCTTCTGTTCCTCTTCGGGGTCAAGGCCGATCCCGCCTGCAGAAGTCATCAAGATGCGCCCAACAGCAGTGGCCCAAGAAGCTCGTATTATAGCCGATTTGTCGTTCTTGCGCTGCAAGAAAGCATGGTAAGCCGCGGGATATTGCGTGGGGAATGAATTGATGGAAGCTGGGGTCGTGAGGTAGTCAAAGTTCCGGGTAGTCTCGGGACGTGACAGGCTCTGTGATGGGTATGCGGCAGGATCTAGATCAGGGAGGGGAGGGGGTCCGGCTGCACCAATGCCTGAAATCATATCGCCAAATGTCTCCGTGGCGAGCTGGCGGAGCTGAACGGTTTCGGTGGCAAGCTCGTCTTGCAAATGCGGTATAATCTCCTGAAGGACTCCTGGGCAGCACTTCCACAGCTCCCGCAGCAGTCGATGAGCTTTGTTTGCCTCGTCAATATCATCTTCCGATGGCCCCTTGTTGGGGCCGTCTTCTGCGCCTTCACGTCTGTATGAGGTACCAGAATTCGTCACGTCAACGATGACGGAACTGAAGTAGTTGCCAATTAGGCGGGCCATTTTCTCTGGAAAGGCATTGCACACATTCTTGGCCATGTTGTACGCAGGCGGCGCCTCTTTTCGCCGCAAAGTTGATTGCTTCGCGTCCACCTGTACCCCTTTCTTCCCCTTGGCTGAGCTACCCAATGTAATTGGGTCTGCCCAAAGGAACTGTGCGATAATGACGTCCACGACGTCATGTGTGACGGCTGGCGCTTCGTCTATTATGGTCGAGAGGATTTCTGTCATATTGTGCTCTATGTTCTTGCTCAGTTCTTCGCCACTATCACTCTTTGACGGGCCTGAAAGCACGTCGAAGCATGTGGTAAACAAGGCCGAAGTGAGCTGCTCCGACCCGGGTATCTCGTTTATGAGCAGTATGCTCTTCCACTCGGCGAGTGAGCGCAGAATGTACATGTGCTGGCTGTTATAGGTGTGCGAGGGATCGGCCAGGAGGGGTAGCAACTTGAGTATGATGACAGAGAAGATTTCCTATCGCATGGGTTAGCACTGCAGGGACATGTAGGGCGAATTGTGAAGTACCTTGAGCTTCGATGCGGGATATGGCGCATCCGGCGCAAAGAGCTTCAGCATGTCGACGACGCAACAAACCGACCACGCGCGTACGCCATGGTCCTTGTGCTGCAGTAAAGTTTGATGAGCCAATTCCTGTGCGACTGGCATAAGCGATTCCCTGTGCGCCTCCTCCTGGTCTATCGTCCGTAGCTCATCGTGCAACGCTTTGAGCCGCTTCAAAAGGTCGCTAACGCCAATTTGCTTACTTGGCCGCCCAACAAGCGGCTGCTTAAATCGCAATGGCTTGAGGCCATTCTGCTCCTCAACCTCCTGCTCTTGCTCCTCCTCTTCGACGGCAACTTCGGCGACGGCCGCCGCGCTACGCCTGCTGCGAGGTGCCATGTCGCGTGGCTGCGCGCGTTGAAAGAGCGTATTTCCACGTGAAGATCTTGTCAGGCAGAAAGCGAGAAACGGACGCGTGAATAGAAATGGCGATTGTATAGGTCGATTGTAGCGGAACTGAAGAACGAGGTGGTGATGATGTGATGCGTCGAGAGAAGCGTCGTCGTACTTTCTGAGCAGTGACGCGCTAGGAAAGTTAGCCAACAATCATTGAACGCGAACTTGTCACCTGGCGCGTGCGGGCACCTCATCCATCATCACATGTCTGTCGCCCAATCACACGTCATCTCTCACTAGTACGCTTTCCACTACACTTCTATCTGGGCTTTTATATGCTATTGGAATGAGCATCTGGACCTCAAGGCACAGGAAGGCCAGCCCATCTTCATACCGGTAGCAGAGCCATGCTCATTGTGAAACCATACTCCACTCTGGACCTACAACTCCCCGTCACACATCTTGGTGGTGTGAACAACCCAACATGGACAGGCAACAGGCCTTTCAGCTAGTAGGCTCTCCATATCCTCATGTTTTCCCCAGTACTAATGCTGCTCTAGTTGAAACGACCATGCATACAACTGCTACAAACCACTGCCAGCATAGGACAGACGCCTGGCGCAAAGACGGAACTAGTACAAGGGCTCACCAATCTTCTGGATACCCTTCAGAAAATCAATCCAAAGGCAGTAGATGCTAAGCTCGCCGAGTATGCGTTCGTTCCCATCTCCCAAGTGCTTCGTAGTTCACGCCAAGTTCCGGTTCGCGGTCTTGAACTTTGTTTGGAGTGCATCTCCAGGCTTCTCCAGACTGGCTGGGGAGGTGCTCTTGAACCCGCTCTTTCTGGCCAGCTTCTTATTCTTTTTACCTTCCTAGCCAAACCTTCCTCTGCAGAAAATGGCATTGCAGCCACTTCAGAAGAATTGCAGGCCCTGGCTTTTCAATGCATGGCTGAGCTGTTGACCGAGAATGGACGTACTCAACATGGCAGACAAGCCATAACATCGACAGCAAACGTCCCAGCACTGGGCGAGGCTGTGCTTGTCATGGTTGAGAGTCTCGCAAGTAGTCCCTCCCACAGTGTGAGACTTCAAGCCGTCAATGCGCTCAAGGCCATCACCGGCGCCATAGATGATAATGATGCCCTTGCGAGCTTCTTCCCCAAGATTGTCTCTTCATTGACAAATCTGTTGACATCAAGCGGCAGCAGTCGACCCAACTTTCGGATTGTTGAGAGCGGCTTGAATATGCTCACATCACTACTATCGCGTCTGCTCAGTGACGAAAACACCAAGCGCCTACCAGAAAAGGCACCGTCTACTGCTTCAGGCATAGTGGCTCGTTCCATGTCCTGGCTGCAAGCTACTTCGTCTCAAATCAAGCTCGCTCTATCAAACATTTTCAAGCTCCGAGAGCACGATAAGCCAGAGGTGCGCGAAGCACTACTTAGACTCTGCTTGTGTGTTATACAAGACTGTCGCAATTCGCTCTCAGACTGTACAAGTATGGCGGTCGAGACAATGGTTAGTTTGGTCGGTCGTGACGAGTATGAGGACAGGATCGAGCAAAGACTCAAGGCGTTACTAGCTGAAGATGCGGAACTCTCCGGCATCCTGCGTGAAAGCTTGCATGGCTGGATCGTATCGCTGTCGCGCATCATGCAATCAAAAGATGACCATCGTCGACGTCGCATGATTCAGCAAGTCTCGGTCACTTTACGACTCTTCGATGATTCCACCAATCTAGATGACAGGCTAGCTGACAGTCTAAGAGACGGTGTTTCTATTGTGCTTTCTGATTCAAAAGGCCTGGAAGAGGTCAGTGATCAGTCGTCTTCTGGTGTAACTGATCGGACATTGATGCTATCAACCACAAAATCCTTGGACTTCCCATCACTGAAATTACGCTTCAAAGGTCAAGAAGACATGATGGCAGAATTCAAACTCCTGGTCCATGAACTCGCAAGGTCTGATGCTGCTTTGAAGGTGGTGCAGGAACTCACGACATCGATCGATGCCGGACCTCAAGAGAGGCGATTAGCCAGTTTCTGGCTCTCTGTGAATTTGTTGCAGGACGTGACGACGACCAACCCTTCAATCGATGACTTCATGGACCTTGGGACACCAAATGTTCGGGAAGAAGTCCTGGATGATCTATACTCCCACTCATTAACTATACTTAATGAACGGGACGCGGACGCACAAACTCAGTGGCAATTTTTTGCACTTGCGCTCGAAACGGTGGCCTTGCAGTCGAAACGCTATCGACTTGAATTTCGGGCAGAGCTCAGTGAAGTGCTGTATCCTGTGCTCAGTCATCTCGGTAGCTCGAATCCTGCGCTCCGAGAACACGCAATGACCTGTCTGAATATCGTTTCGGAAGCATGCGGGTATGCTGATGCTGGCGATCTTGTTGTTCAGAATGTCGATTACATTGTCAATGCTGTGGGACTGAAGCTGGCTATTGGCGATGTCTCCCCTCAGGCCCCTCAGGTTCTATTAATGATGATGCGACTCTGCGGGCCGTCATTATTACCGTACCTGGACGACCTTATCGGGAGTATATTTGACGCTTTAGAAAGATATCACGGGTACCCAAAGCTTGCTGAACTTCTGTTTTCGGTATTGAAAGCCATGACAGAGGAAGGTGTCAAAGCTCCACAGCTTGCCTTGACTACGGGAAATGATATTCCACAAACTCAACACAAAGAAAAATCTGTCACAATGGCAGACGCAATCGAAGCACTCAAGCAACTCCAGACTACCCTCCAGAAGCAAGTCAACGAAGCATCCCATGAAACACACGAGCCCTTCCCCCAAAAGCCCTGGAAACAGGAAAAACCAGTCTCCACAAGCCCACATGAATCCTACGACAATGATGCCCTCCCAGAAGACAGCGAAACCCCAACGGAACCATCCGCCCCTACCACCCAAGACGACCCTCCGCCCCCTGCACCCCGAACCTACACCCTCCTCCTGAAGATATCCTCCCTAACACAACACTACCTCACCACTCCTTCCCCCTCCCTTCGCACCTCCCTCCTCGCCCTCCTCCGCACCACCATCCCCACTCTCGCTCGTCACGAAAACTCTTTTCTCCCACTCATACACACACTCTGGCCTGTTCTTATACCGCGATTAGAGGACCCAGAAGCATATATCGTGGCGAACGCGCTGGACACTGTGGCGCTGATGTGCGAGTACGCGGGTGACTTTATGAGGACCCGGATCGACGACGCCTGGGATATTCTAGGAAGAGTGTACAGAAGAGCTAAAGGAAAACCCGGAGAAAGTAGTAAAATTTACAAGACGCCCACGGGGAGAAAGAAAATTGAACTCGCCGGAATCACACACGGCATGGGCGGACTTTCAATGATGTCTTCCTCAATCTCCTCTTCTGGCCCTGCCGAGCTGTATACACCCGAACACTACATCGATGCCCCGACGCGCATGATTTGGAATGCGTTTGTGGGCTTGCTGTGCAGTGTTGCGCGGTTTGTGACGGTCAAGGAGGAGCGGGGGGACGAGATGCTGGATATGCTGGACTCGGTGTTGGAGAGGGAGGACGTGAGGAGTGCGATGGAATGTTGGAATGCTGATGCGGTTTGGCTGCGGCTTTGGAAGAAGGGGTCGCAAGTGGAGCATGTAGCGAAGGGGGTAGGCGTGGGTGAGATGCCGGTTGGGAGGCCGCAGTGGCGGTTTGTTGCCGTTTAGGAGTTCTGCGATTTATGGTGTTTCGAGGAGCCGTGGCGAAGGAGGATGTTATACTGATGGGCGTTTTGTGCATGGCAGTACTTTGACTCTCAGTGCTTGTGCTGTTGGCATATCTGCATTGAGAATGGTGCGATCGTTGGTCGTGTTGCTGGCATCTAGGAGCTCGTGGCATTGGTAATGCATCCGTACCTAGCTTTTGCGTGCTGGTCGTGTAGAACCCGATGTCGTCGAGTTTGTTCAACTTCGTCAGAGGTGACATGTGGCGTATCGTCCCTGTCTATGTTGCTGGAGACGTAGAGAGTATGTGTACAGTAAAAATTCCATTGAACTCCTACAAATGAGACCATTTAAGCGCCACAAAGCCCCCATCTCTTGATGAAATCATCGGTAATTGTTGTATAGCGGAATTTGAACCGTGGGGCGCTCCATCCCAAGACCCGAAATTCTATAGGTTGTGTACTTGAGATTATTGAGAAGAGGGAATACTAATAACAGCTCTCGCTAAAAAAAAGTCTTTCAAGATCCTTGGGGAAAAAATCTAAGTCTTCGATTTCGGGACTAAAAGTTGAGTGGAGCTTCGAGACACTGAAGGTCGTGAGAGTGGTTCCTCTATCGTTGCTGTCTCGCCTCGTTTGAACGCGGTCCATTTCGACGTTGCGATTTTAAACAGGTCTTTGAACGGAGTTTGTTCGGATGGCGATAGGGTGCCGTCTAGATGATACATTTTGAAGAGCTGAAGGGATGAATCGCGGGGGATAGATGGCCAGGACGGGGTGAAGTAAGTGCGCGGAATATAGCGTGAAGAGACGGGGTGGAGTGAATGTGTGGGAAGGCCGTCTGCATATGTATGCGGTAGATGTTTAGAGTAAATACCATGCGGACGACACGATATGTACCCCAGACTACCCTACTTTGATCTAGTAGGAAATGCGCTACGTGTGCTAGAAAGCATGCGCAGGGCGGTTCCCCGCAATTCCGACGACAGCGGTGAGTGTGATCAAGGTCTAGGCCAGTCGAGGCGGTGTCCTTGATACCCAATGAGTATACCAGATCTACACTTTTGTACGACGATTCGTTGCCTTGTCAAAAACAAATACAAGCACGATGCAGCACGTAATGTAGATCCTAACAAGGAGGCGTGGCTCAGAACATACACATACCTACCTATCTTAGGGATCTCTCTTACTGGTAGTTCTTCTCGTCTATTGATTGTACCGTTACCGGTATAGACTAAACGGTGACCTTAGCGGCGAAGCTCTAAAACCATGCTGGGCCTTCATGAGGGTCACATTACCAAGTCAGGCTTCTCGGCTCTACTTGCAAGCTGAGTTCAATACAGTGGGCCTAGGGATACCTAGTCTCATGCGCAATTCGGACTCGATTTGAGCTGCAGCTACATGTGCACTTTTTGCCGCCGCAGCGTTGTAACGGTCGCTTGTACACGTCTCTTTCATGATGATGATTTCGCCGCATCCGTATTGGGAAGCTGTATGACTCTTAATGAATTGCTGGACCTGTTCCTCCATCTAGATCACGGGATTATTTCGGGGGCAGATGTTGGCGAGATGTTGGAGTTTGTGGAAGGCAGGTCATGTGTCGTGATGTGTGGCATGCTCGCGGCCTAATCGCTAGGTTTATGAAGCTCATTTCCTAATTATTCAGTTGCAGAACCGTTTCCCAAGAGAGTATTGCTAGGGGGCTGTGAAAGAGATACTCGTTGAAGACTTTGTGGACATGATGCGTTGGTTTGGGAGGCTGACTGGCACCTGCATCTTGCCCAGCCTATTGCCTGTGCACCACAAAGTCCGACCGTACCGATGACCCGAGACATCTCATCTTCACTCGCAATTCCGCGGGTGTCTAGGCAAGATGTAGCATGTCACATTTGTCTTGCCATCAGCAGCTTTTTCAGAATCATGATCCGCATTTAGTGCGAAGTCTGATTCGGTCTCAACTACCATCATTCAACCCGAGAAACTCTCTAAAGTCGCCCTCCTTCAACTGATAACTTATTCCCTTCGAACTTTAAAATTCTATATTTATCGACTAATGACGTCAAATATTGTGAGCCGCTGAGATGCAGTTTCGTGGTGATTAAACTACAGAGAGCAGAGTAATAAAACAATACGCACTCACAGCATTAAGGTCTATAAATCCCTTCATCGCTCACACCAGGCCCAAAATGTTCAGTAGGTGGAGATTTTGCCGCACGCAAAGCTGGCGTCTTCTCGAAGCGCGAGCGTGAAGGAGTGATCAAGAATACAACAAGAGATAGCAACGCGACAAGCACCGAGAGCGTCACGAAAAGCCAGGTATAGATCTAAAAATGAAAATGCGTAGAAGAAGGAAATTCGTATGTGGAACACCTCGATAAATTGCATAATATCATCAACGCTCACTGTAATGGCCCCTCGAGGCCACTCCATAACGATGAGTATTACTGCTTGCTAATTGCTGCATCATCATTTAAGCAATTTCAAAGGCCATATTGTTTCAACCGCTCAAGGACGAAACAGATTCACTAGCTCACCCACCGCCAACTCTCATAAGTATTTCTCAGACCCAAACTTCCCGGCACGAACCACCAGTGAATTTCCTTCCTGCACGAAGATGCCAAACAGCAAGCCTTGAATGATTCAGAGGCTTGATTCGTTGTTACTTTTGTATTAGGCAAGTCGAATGTGCAGATTCCCTTTCCATTCCATGATCCAGGACCAGACTTGCCTTCAGGCGTGTCTATCCCTGTTCCACCGCAGCACAAGCTTACAAGACCTTGCATAACGGGGGGAGGGTCGATACCAGCGCAGGTACACTCAAAGTTGAGTCCCTGTAAAGATGTCAGAATTCACGCCACTAAAATTTGAAGAGGACTTGGCTAGTAGGACTATTAAGGAAACATACATAGACAAAGTTTGCGATGAGTAGAACACAGGCCGAGATAGTGAGCCTCATTGTTGAGTTGGAAAAATAGCGCGTGCATGTTGATTAAGATAGAATGGTATGGTATGGTATGGAAGACGCGGTATGGTGCTTGGAGACGCAGATTTGTATATGAATGGCACGGAAAAGACATCTACCATAGGTACTACTACGTGCTCATATACACTCATCAGCAATCAGAAATAACCACAGGTGTTTTCAGTGCCAAGATCACTATCATACATAGTCGTAGACAGTAGTGATATATCTATTACATCTAAAATTCGTATCGCGGAGTGCTATTAGATCCCGTTTCTGGCTTAAATGTATATGTTACAGGACTACCTACCTATTTCTACACCTAATCCTCGAACCAATGGCAGCGATAAACTGATCAGTTGGTGAGAGAGACTATAAGCATTACAAAACGCCATAATAAATCAATTTCTATCCAAATTAGCGGGTCCAATTTGGAATCCACTATGCTTATACATACTGCTACATCAAGACCATTTTCAAATCTCCATGCTTACCTACCCCCCTTGCAGCACACTACTTTCCTGAATAAGAAAAAAAAATCCGAACCTAAACTTAGGTAAATCTACTACAGACAGCTGCATTCGTACCTTTTCTCTTAGAGCAATCGTCCTATTGACTATAACGTTATAATCTATGGCAACAAAATTGTTCCTTCCAAGTCAACCAAGTACAGGTCAAGGTTACCAGGAAACATTTCTCCTCTGCAGCATATACACCCTGGACCAAAGGTCCACCTCGTCTGTTCTAGACTGGCGAAAAATCAGCTAGTCTTGCCATTTGATTCGCTCTCGGCCCTATAATAGAATCTAGATGTGTATCGGGGTAGGTAGGTATAAAGACTAGTTTCAGTTTCACAAAGTTTAAACGGAGAATTTACTTATTCTTAGGGACACAAACGGGCCTTTTCACTGCAGAGCTGCCACAACTACCTAGGTACTCGAATCACCAGACCAAGTAACAAGGCCTAGGTACGAAAACATGTAGCCTATACCGGTATTTGACTGGCACTAGACCCAGAAACATTCAAAAGTACTACAATATAGAAGGGCTTTTACATTCCCAACTTGCCACTCTCAACAACAGTACCGGTAATAAAGCAACTGCTAATAACACCAACCACTCCCCCCATCACTCACAAGACCCCCCCGTAACCCCCCAAATCTCCCCCGTAACCCCACAACACCGACTGAATCCCGCACTTCCATCCGCCAACGACATCTGCGTCTCCGGCAGCCTAAACCGGCACTGTTTGGTAACAATGTCCCAGATACCAAGGTGTGCCTCGCCGTTGGGAAAAGAAATCGCGCGGGTTGTGCAGCATTGCTCTGTATACTCCCTGATGGCGTGTATGGGTGCGATTTCTCCTGAACATTTGCAGGCCATGTTTAGGGCCTGGTGGGCGGGTTAGGAGGAGGAAGATAGGGGATTGGGGATTGGGGATGTGGGGGTGCGTGGAGAAATAGAAGGTAAGAGGGTTAGGTGAACTTACATGAGCGGAGTTGGCGATGAGTAGAGCGCAAGAGGCTGTGATCGTGAGTCTCATGGTGGTTTTGCGAAATTTGACCACTTCAGATAGAGTGACGAGATGACAGAAATGCAGGTGGATGGGATGTTGCGAGCGTGGCAAGTATCACAAGGGCGTGGACAGGTTATGCAAGATGCGTTTATATACTGTGCATGATCATCCCCCCAGTCAATTCATCTTCCTTTGTCCTCACATCCTCGCATATGAATAGTCTAAAACTGGCCTTTTTGCAGAGTAGTGTTAGGATGTGCACATAATCATGTAGGCTGAGGTGAGGCCAAGAAAATATATAGATTAAATATATACAAGCGGCAGGTACGGAAGGGTTGAGCAGAGCTAGTGTTCTAGCTTGACGTTTGCGTATTCTACCTATGACTAAGAGGATAAGGCTTTCTTTCGCAGATCCACAGATATACAGCTGAACAGGGGCTGTTGTACATAGGACAGCACCGTAGGTCCTATGAGTAGCACATGCGGAACGACAATGTCGGTCTTGCTCATTCCTTTAGATGAACTTGTTGCTATCCTTGACTGTGTCTTTCACTTCCTTGAGTGGTTCGAGAGGAGTGGCCGACTGGTATAAGCCCGGTACCCTTGCGCCCAGGTATACCGTCTCGCACCATCCGGCCTCTTTCTTTGCACCTCTGGCTTCGTAGAATTTTCGTGCCACAACGAGGGGCGTGAGAGATCCGAATTTAGCCGTGTACCCTGTAAAGGGCCGACAGTTATACGGTATGCTCCTGCATATGCAATCGGCATACCCAACTAGCTGGCGATCCCACATAACGAGCTGCTTCATCTCCAACTTGCGATGTTGCCGTAGTAGTTTGAATGTGTTGCCTTGCATAATCAACATGCTCATCCAATAGATCATATAACAGATGCCAGCACTGAAGTAGTGGAAGTCAAAGACGGGATCGAACAAGCGGTCAGAACAAATATTCAGGAAGCCGAGCATTGAATCGACACTGACTTTGTCATAGCGAGGACCATGCCTTTCAAAAAGCGAGATCCACTCGAATGCACGATTTGCGAGATCTTGGGAATCCTCCAGTAAGGAATCGATCTCGGCTTGTGGGTTGCCATTCGCAGCAACCTTGTCTGTGCGTTCCAAGAGCCGCGGGATCGCTATGCATATGTCGTTCAATGCGACATATGGATCGAGTTTCGAAGCTTTGACAGTCACTGCCAACCATTCGGGACTGTCGAGCATCGAAGCTTTGCGCATGTGGTAACCGATGGTCAACTAGACCTGATGAGTCAAGTTCATGATAAGCTTGAACGGGCGCTTACAGAGTTGTAACGTATCGCGTGGAATATTTGCATGCTCAGTCGATTCTCAAACGAGGCAGGACCTCGCTGTTTGAGAAGACGTAAAAGCCCTTGCATGTGGTAGAAGAACCCATGGCCTTGACTGATTCCTACGAATACCTTTGCGACTCGTCAGTCTCAGCATTCAGGCAGGATATAGATGCACATACCTCGTAAAGTGACAGCAGATAAGTTGATATCAACGTCTCGTCTTTTACGGCCATGACTGGGTCCTGGATTGCTTGCATCATTTGACTTAATGCCGTGCCGTAGAGCGATCTAGAGCGGTTGATGAGAAGATAATTCCTTTTATCCACCGCGATTTGTGCCGCGGAAAGGGCGTCGACTGCAGCCAAAAGGACTTTGCTGTTGGCAGGCATCGTAGGCAAGCCGCGTATCAACGCTGATGGAGGCGGCAAAGCTGGGCCATCAGCCCGTGGAAGATAAAGCGCAATGAAATTGCCTAGATGTTGGATGCGATCAGTAGCTACCGCGCTGACTTGTTTTGGTATGGGAGTCGCAGGAGGCTTGACCTCTGCGACCTGCAAGCGGGCTGCAGCTCGAGTGGGCGTATTTCCAGAAGCTTGCTTTGGTGTCGAAGCCTGGTTTGCATACTTGTAACAGTTCTCATCTTCTTTGATCAAAGCTGGCTTTTCGTTTTGATCGTCGAACTTGTGGAGGATGAATGATTGTGTAGGCCTGTAGCCTGGACACTTTGTTCCCCGTCGCAAGCATGTGTTGCACTGAGGTTTTGTCTCATCGCAGCGAACCTTCCTCTATGGCGAAGATATCAATAAAGATAAACGATAGGGGGTTACGGTCGGGGGTTGGCCAGCGCGCAACTATAGAGGAACGCGTACCTACCTTTCTGCACTCGAAGCAGCCTGCTGACCTCTTGGGCATTATCACACAGCGGAAGGGCCGCCTGCTTTGAAGACGTGTAGAAGCAGAGGTTGAAGATGGATGATTATCGACTTTCGCTCTGCTTTCCAGATAGCAAAGGAAGTGCGGAGAGAGGACATGCTGGGATTGCGGTGGTTATGTTGAGCGGGAGAGGCAACGGGGGGGGCAACGGGGAAGGAGGTGGGGGAAGGGGGGGGGGGAAAGGGCAATGGGTGCGTGCCCCGGGGTCTGGGCCCTAATTTTAACCTGACAATTTGCCCAACTTCCCCTTTCAACGTTCTCCCACTCCCCGGGGACCCATCCGCGATGGCCTTGTATGAAACTGGCTTTCAAGCTGCACACCCATTCCCGCATCTCCAAACCTTTCCTAGCCACCGGCTGGGAGGGAGGAAAGAAAGAATGAATGAATGAATGAATGAATGAATGAATGAATGAATGAATGAAAGGAATAGTGATGGTGCAGGAATCTGATTGCTTCTTGACGAAGAGACGTTCAAGTAAGTCATTGCCTGGATTGGATCAACATGTAACGGTATGCAGCTGCTCTAAACATGATCAGCTTCTCCTTGCCTCTCTGATACTCGAACAGAAAGGCCAGTGGGATAGGTAGACAACTAAACAGGGATGTTCGGTTGAAGGACTCGACACAGTTGGGTAGCACGCGTATTCAGACGGGGGACAAAAGATATATACCAACCAACAGGTAGCAACAACGTAACGGAAGAGAAGAAAATAGGCTCGGAACCAAATATACCCAGGGTGACACATTGAAAAGACCTGGAAAGAGACGTGCTCAAAAGTAGAGTGGAAAGCAAGAGTCATGGTCTCTTGGGCCGATCCGCCAAGTTGTGGATCCGTGGTGACATGAGTCATCTCCATAGAGGAGAGTAGAGACGGTCTCAGGAGTGAACATGAAACCTCGCAAATTTCCCTCGTTTGCATGGTCCTTATAGCAGAGGTAGAGTGATTCAGGCACCGTTGTCGCTGTTAGTTGGTGATGATTGCTAGTCTCACGAGAATCCTACGGGACGCATGTGTGGGATCCTTTGGGAAATGTCTGCGAGCTCTCGTGCAACACCAGGAACCTTGTTGGTGGAGCGGATATATGCGATGATATTGACTGACTGCAAGCAAAGTTGGAGCTCCAGAAGATTCGTCGGCGAGAATTCAACGGAGTTAGATGGCACTATGGCTCCTTGACGTCCATGTTACATTTCAGCATGTAGGAGTATGATGGATCATATACAAGACGTAAAACTTGTCTCTACACCTATCACACTCTTGCATCATTGTAAATTCTCGAGCCATGACAAATCTCCCAGGCTGAACAAAGTCTTCCAGCATCATTACAGGCCTGAGAACTACAACCCTGATTTCCTCGTTGTGGCACATTGTTGAGACCAGGTTGCTGTGCGCCCCTATGAATCTGAACTCTACTATGACGATAAGGTAGCAAGCGAACGCTAAGGCGGCTGAGGTGAGGCTACTCGCTACTCGGTAACCCCAGCTTCCTCCACCCATCGCGACCGCGTCCACGACCACAGACAGTCGCAAAACCTCCACACCACGATTGCGACACCCACACCTCTCCATCTATCCTCACCAACCACCGCACCCAACCCCTTCGACCCGCATACAGACTCATCTCCAACCCACACAAAGGCACCCAGCCATGCCTCAACCACGTACGTCGCCAACCTTCCTCCCTCCCTGCGCGTTGCATCACCACCTCTCTCCGCCGCCTCCCTGCACCTCCAAGCTAACTCCCCCCCCCCCCCTCAGCTGCCCGTGCCTTTTCGCAAAAAGACCTCCCCCCCTCAGTCGAAACAGCATACTACCGAAAATGCATCGACCTGCGCCGCCGCATCACCGACATTGAAGACTCCAACGACGGCACCCGCCTGCGCATCACGCGCCTCAACCGCGGAATCCAAAAGATGCGCCTCGAGCGCGCCTTCCTCCTCGAACAGATTAATAAACACATGGAATACAACGCCGACGACAGTGACCGGAGTAGCAGTCCGCCACCCACCCCGACCGACAAGCCATTACGCAGTAAACGCAGCGGCGGCGGCGGCGGCGGCGGCGGCGGCAGTACAACAGGAGCCAGAAAAGCCACGCCTCCCTCTCAAACCAACCAAATCGCAACCCTGGGCAGTGTCACGCAAGCGCAGACGCAAAGTCCAGCGAGCACGGGTACACAGCAAGCCGGCCAACAAACTCAACCCCAACAACAATCATCTACATCTACAACGCTTCCACAATCCTCCCTAGCCGCGCTCTCAAGCCCACACTCGACCCCAGCCCCTTCCACTTCAACACCTTACCCTAACCCCCCCACAACCTCAGCTACAAGTCCCCACCCAACCCTCAATGGCACTGCTACTGCTACAACTACAACTACAACTCCAACTCCCGCTAACCCCACCGTCCTCCCTCCCCTCCATTCCCTCCCTGCACTCCAGACCCCCGCGCCCCGCGCCTACTTTGACCCGGCATATGACGACCAGCGCGCCAGTGCCGTGCCGTCTGCGGCGGGGGACAGTGCTTCTGCTGCTGCTGCTGCGACGGCGCAGAATGGCGATACGGAGATGGTGGATGTAGACGGGGGTGTTGGGAGTGGGCGGTAGGGTGGCGTGGCATGGCTGGATGTGACGTGGGTGTGGCCATGTGTGTGAGTGTGTACAAGTATATATACCTACCTGTATATTGATATACACAACACCACCACCAAACACCAAACACACAGCAGGCTAGACATGCAACACCCACATCCCCAACGGCAACCCAACCTGTTCCAGAATACAACCGGCAAGGTGGATGGCTCTGTGTCTTTTTTATTTCTAGTGTGATTAGTGCAATGGGTGGGAGATGGGTTATTTGGGTACATGGGTACATGGGAGTGAGGTTCAAGGGTTAGTATGAGTTGAATGTCAGTATCAGTATCAGTACCAGTATCAGTATCAATAGGGCAAGTGGTACTTCTTTTCCCGCGGGCATATAAAAAAAACCACAGTGCCATGGACAAAACAGATTTCATCACGCCATTCTTTACAGTGCATGGTCTTGTGTCAAGGCTGGTGAGGGCCATGTAGGCACGGAATCAAGAAAGTCAACGAGCATGGAAAAGGGCACAACACATGTGGATTGAGGATATAGGATCGTCTCCCAGAGACAAGGAGGGCGGCAAGCAAGCAAGGAGGTCCAAAACTGTTACAAGTGGTCAGACCAGAAGCCAACCAGCCGGTCAGCCAACACCGCTCCATTCACTCCTCACAGTCGAATCTCGGCCGTCGTGTCATAGTCGTCAGGAGCAAAGCACGCGGCGCTTTACTTTTGCATCATGAGCTGGACGAATTCGTTGTCTGGCCAGTTGTCAGTATCGAGAGTGCGCACGTGTGGTTCGCCGGCTTACAGTCGATGCGCCCGTCGCCGTCCTGGTCAGCCTCCCGGATCATCTCGTCCACCTCGTCGTCGGTCAACTTCTCGCCAATCGATGTCATGACGTGGCGCAACTCGGCGGCGGAGATGAAGCCGTTGTTGTCGCGATCGAAGACCTTGAAGGCTTCTCGGATCTCCTCTTCAGAGTCGGTGTCCTTCATCTTGCGGGCCATCATAGTGAGGAATTCTGGCGAGGGTTAGTCGGGGGAGATTGGGGATCGCATTGGGCGACCACGTACCGGGAAAATCGATGGTGCCGTTGTTATCGGCGTCGACCTCGTTGATCATGTCCTGCAGCTCAGACTCGCTGGGGTTCTGGCCGAGGGAGCGCATGACGGTGCCTAGTTCCTTGGTGGTGATCTGACCTGTGGTGCGATGGATTTAGTGGAGTGTTCGCCATGTGGTGAGCCAGCCTCGTGTGTGATGTACTGCACAATCGATTGCGCGCATTCGCCTCGGGTCATTGAAAAACAGCCTTTGCAGCAGGCAACAGGCAGCATGCTTGGGAATAGGAACGGGGTTCGGGGCTACTGACCATCGCCATCCTTGTCCTGTGTTGAGAGGCCATGTTAGCGACATCTGATCTTGATGCATCGAGTAAACACTTGATGGTGCCCCCTCTCGACAGCAGGCAGCAGCGCCGTGGAGGGGCTGAACTTGAAACTTACAAACAGAGAGAATGCCTCCTTGAACTCGGAGACTTGCTCCTCGGTGAGAGAATCAGCCTGGGGTGGTGGAAATCAAGTCAGCGATGGGCACTGGCAGGAAGGAGTGTTGAGCGACGGGGGGGTTGTTTTCGAGGGCGGGGTATGCCATGGCGACGCGAAATAGGGTCCCGCGGGGTCGACGAACCATTTCTTTTGTGGTGTTGTTGCGTGTGTGTGTGTGTGTGTGTGTATTATATGTGTGTGTGCGTGTGATTGAAAAAGGAGGGAGGGGTGGGGTGGGGGGGGGGGGGCGCTTGTATAGAAGAGGGGGGTTGCTCAGAGGCGATGTGGGTTGTGTGTTGTGGGTGTGGGTGTGGGTGTGGGTGTGGGTGTTGGTGTTGGTGTGCAGGCCAGTCAGTTGTCAGTCAGTGTTGGGAGGGAAGGGAAGGGAAGGGAAGGGAGGGCAAGGGGCGGGGCAGGGGCGGGCAGGCTAAGTGTGCCAGTGTTTGCGGCGGGAGGGACTGCAAGTGCGCGGGGGCGGGGGGCTAGAATGGTGGAAAGGTGGAAAGTGGTCAGCAAGTAGTTGTGTAAAGTAGTACTCTTACTCTAGAGACCTTTCCATGGAGACCTTGGGGACCATAGGGGGACCTTTGGGGACTTGTGTGGGGACTGTTGTGTGTCCAACCGCCCTATCAATCACTTCACCGCGCGGTCCTTTTCTTGGTGGGGGGGGGCAAGAAGAGACGGACAGACAGACAGACAGACAGACAGACGGACAGAGAAGGGAACAGCTAAGCGGGTCCAGGTAGCCCCTGCCCGTCACGTCACGGGAATGGAAGCTCCCCAAGACCGAAAAAGGTTAACTCAGCTGCTGATGGCACAGAACCATAGACAGCAGTACACACCCTAACAAGCCAAATCAGCGGTTGCTGGTCCCACACTATATACAAGAACCCGGCACAGATAAACTCTGACTCTGACTCCGCCTACATCCGTGAAAAAAAAAAAGAATAAAGAAAGAGAACAAGAGGCCACTTCGCACAAGCGCTGCCCTCGTTGGTTCCCAGCACGAAGACCATGAGAGCGTGGCCATAACACTCGCCCATCCAACATGTGGCGAGACCGCACCAATCTGTAGGTTGCGCAGTCCCCTCAGCCAAACAGCCACGATGCTCGCTCCCCAGCCCTTTTGCGCTGACATGGTCGCATAGCTTCATCTCCTACCGCCAGTCGTACTCGCACCACCCGCAAAAGAGGACGCGCTATGGCGGACCAGGCTCCAATGGCTTCGGTGACGGTCGTCGCGTGTCAGAGGAGCGGCAGGGACTCATGTCCAGCGGCGCATACGAAGACGACGGCGATGCGGTGATTGAAATGGACCTGCTGCCCCCGCGCTGGCTCGACATTCAGGACGAAGTCACCGACCACCTAGCAGACATTGCAAAGCAGACGCGGAAGCTTGACCAGCTCCACCAGAAACACGTGCTGCCAGGCTTCGATGACGACGCGGACAAGCAACGCGAGGAGCGCGAGATCGAGCAGCTCACCCAGAGCATCACCCGCAGCTTCCAGCGATGCCAGCAGGCCATCAAGCGCATAGAAACCATGGTCCGCGACGCAAAGCAACAGGGCAACATCAACCAGGGCGAGGAGGTCATGGCCCACAATCTCAAAATCTCGCTAGCCACACGTGTGGGCGAGGTGAGCGCCATGTTTCGCAAGAAGCAGTCGGCCTACCTCAAGAGTAAGTCGCATGTCCAAAGCAAGGTGCCAGGCTGGAGCTATATGCTGATCTTCGGCCAGAACTGCGCGACCTTGGTGGTTTCTCTTCTCCCTTTCGAGCGCCGACACCTGTGCAGAACCCCTACAATGATCCCGCTCTCCAGGAATCCGACGCCGACCGATCCTTTTCGCAGTCCACTCTACTCCAGACGAAGCAGCAGCGGCTGCGCCATGATCCCAACGAGGCTTTGATTGCTCAACGTGAGCGCGAAATCGAAGATATTGCCCAAGGCATCATTGAGCTGGCCAACATCTTCCAAGAGCTACAAACCATGGTGATTGATCAAGGGAGCATGTTGGATCGCATAGACTACAACGTCGAAAACATGTCGAGAGAGGTAAAGGAGGCAGACAAGGAGCTCAAAGTGGCCTCTGGCTACCAGAAACGAGGCATCAAGAGAAAGATTATGCTTTTGCTTGCCATTCTGATCGCAGGCGTCTTCATACTACTATCTCTGAAGCTGAGCAGCAGAGGCGGAAACGATAGGCCTGTTCCACAGGTACCAGATGTCCCTCCAGCAGTCATGGTGCGGAACCAGCGCCAGTCCGTGGCCTCAAGGACAAGTCGCAACTGGCACCGGCGAAAACGACGTCTATGGGACACCCAGCTAGACGATCGGCTCCTACGATAGATTCATCTCATGACCAATGAAGTCCAGATTTCCCCTGCATTTTGACCAACATTTGCGGTGACGGCTAACTACTACATGATGGTCGTCTCGAAGCTACCATCCCCATCAGAGGTCGAATAGGGATGAGGCATAGAGTATGCTGACATGGGGAGAGGAAGACACGATAGCTCAACATCAGCTTCGGAATCCTGTGCATTTTTTGTTGTTGTCAGCCGCAAGAAGACTTAGCCATGAGTACGCGTCCTTTGTTTTGCTAACTCATCATGGGCTCGTTGCCCTGCAAGCACAGTTGTCCACTTGAGCCAACATATCCAGCCACACAAACAATCACGGAATCCTACAAAGGAGAGCAGTATTCCAGTGCATCGATTGGTGTTCGTATCTGCAAGCGGAGGGCGTGGCGTGGCGTTTCGAGACGACTTTGCGCTCTTCAGACAAAGGCACTTTAGCCTCGTGTGTAAACAAAGGTACTAGGATTGAAACATTTGTAGAAGCTCACCCACGGCTCAAATCATGGCAGCAATCATAACCTGTCTGCCTCTCAACCGAAAACTGTTGCAAGACTATGTGACCAGCTCACGTAATCACCCCCATTCATCAGCATGATTCACATTGACAAACCCTTTGCTCGCGAGAGCGGCCCATGGCCGTTTCCCAATGCCATCACAAAAGTAATTTGTCAACACGCCGGACGAGAAGCGAGCGCCGCGCTGTTTGCTGCCCTTGGTCCTTGGGCGAACGGTGGTCCTGCTGCACGCAAAGCGACATACCGCGAACCATTCACGTACTGGGACTGGCACGGCGTACGCCCAGACGAACGATTTTCAAGAACCCGAGGCTTGAAAGGGCAGCTCCTATGGGAGAGGCAGCGAGGATATCCGCAGAAAGGTCGTGCTGGCGAATTCGGATATCCTTCTCCCCGAGCACGCTGGCAGGCGTTTAGCGCGTTGATTGCAACACACCCCGAACGAAGATTCTGGGTCAAACATCTCGCCGTGGCTCATTGGATGCATCAAGAGGATTTGGAATGGATTGCAGTCCAATTCCCGATGCTGGAAAGTCTTGACTTGAGCGATACCCTAGCCATACCCGTCCGTGCAGGGACTACTCCAGCCGCCACTCCAACTGTATCAAAAGCCTCCGGTTTACCGTCTCCCCAAATGGCAGACTTACTAGCCAAAATCAAATGGCTAGGCATCCCAGCTGTGCGATCGCCGGGATCGGAATACATGCAGCTACTTCCCCTGAAGCAGTACTTGTCCTTGTGTACTGGGCTTCAGAGCCTGTGTATTCGAGATACGCGCGATGGGGATATGAGGGCTTGTGGATTTGAATCTGCGCAGGCTGTGGCGGATTGGGTTGGAGGAGTGGTTGCGGATGTTCCTGTGAGGACTGTGGATGTCGAGTTGAGGGTTTGTTGTGTGGATGTTGAGTCTCTTGTCGCTGCACTCGCGCGAGGAAAGCCAAGAGTCACTCGCGTTGGTGTAGATTTTGGGGCTTGGGTTCGGGGTTGTGGTTTGATTGTGGATCAAGAAGATCAAGTGTTCCCCACAGGATCAAAACGGTGGCTCCCTGATTCTTCGGCCCCAGTCGAAGGACGACCCGACCAAGATTACCAAACCGATAGGCCGGTTTTTGCAAGAAATATTCGTCAGGATCAACATGTGCAAGCGCTCGGTGGTGGTGGAGCTCAATCATCGCAGACTCAGTTGGCCGGTTTGAGGGATGCCAGCAACAACACCACGACCGCAAAACAGAGTCATGACCGCTCAAACTGTACGTCGCTATACGAGAATCTGTTCAGATTGTATAAAGCGGGCACCGATATTCGACACCGAAAAATTCTGTTCTTCTCTTTGTAAGTTGCCATGGCAGTGGGACGAGGATTGCAAGACGCTCTAACAAGATCCATGTAGAACTCCCGAGTGGCAGACGAATAGTACAGACCCCATTCACCCTTTGGCTATGATACAACCCGAATCAGATGGCAGGAGCGTCTCAACCGGACAGCTCACCAGTTTATACAGCTGGCTGAACACGACTTTCGGTTGGCGACCAGTGTTTGACTGGGACTACTTCATGGGGCTTGACATGCCCAATGAACATGATACACTCATCAAGCAAATCGCACTGCAGTTTCAGTATATGCGGAATGCGTCCATTCCAATCCAAATACTGATTGGCCGTCGTCCTTTAGACTTGTCAAGTCTGTATTGGGGCCATGATGAGTCTACATGGACCCAAACACTTGCTAGGCCGTTCAACAACAGCCTCGACCACATCGCACCGCTTATGGACACTTTGATCATTCACTACGATCTTCGTAATCCACTCAATCATAACCTTCTGCAGGAAATCGACAGGCTGGAACCACATGTCGAACCCGCAGCATTCTGCCCTCGCAGTCTCTGTCCCTGGCCGCAAAACCACTGCCCCTTTGAAAAGCAGTGGGCCGACAGGCCCACGGCCCCTTGCCCTCAACCAAAAAGCTTTAGAACCATTCATCCCGGACCCGACTTCCCCCGTTCCCCAAAGATCCCATCTCCCCTTGCTAACAACAACACCCCATACCTCCCCACCGGCGAAGACGCAAACCTCGACACCACAGACGACTACGACGCCGCCGACCCCCACGCCAGACCTACATTACACAAACTCGCACGACATGCAGCCTACCTGCGTGAAGCCACAGGCTGGCAACGCTTCTGGACCGCGTACGCACCCGTACTGACAAATCTGTCTGCGCTGCACGTGCGCATGCCTCGCGCATTTGACAAGGTGGGGAACTGGCAGCTGGGGCAGTTGCTGGATTGCAGGCGTGGCTGGAAGATGTGTTGTTTTGCAGAGGAGCGACAGCGTATGCAGATGCGTGAGGATTTGGCGTTGGATATTGGAGGTGGGAATGCTGGGGTTGCGGGTTTGCTGGAGGGCAAGGTTTGGCCTGGTGGTCGGTTTGTTCGTCGGATTTGGGTATGTGGTATATTGCTCTTTTGTTTTGGAAGCATGGACAGTGGAACTGGATATGTCCTCTGTGTTTGATACACTTGCTGATTGGGATCAAGATTCGAAGACGCGCGCCTCCGTGTTTTACACTACCTGCTTCAGAGCATGCGAGCTCAGCTATACCAGCTCCAGCGACTGGATTCACCATCTTGTAAGCTGACCCCCCTTCCCCTTCCCCTTCTTCCGCAAACATATCCACATCCACAAAACTTTAAAACCTAACTCCACCACGTAAAACAGCTCCCCATCCCACCAAGCAAACCTGACCCACCAAGCCCTCCAACACGCCATCCACACCGCCCAATCCGCAGCAAGAGCACAGAAGTCCCGTCAGAAGGAGCTTGAATCGCGCGTAAGCAGGGTTGGAGATGGGCGGCGGAGTCGTGGTGGGGGAATGTGGGTTGGCGGTGAGGGTCTGGGTTTGGATGGTATGGCTGGGGTTGGGGGAGGAAGTACAAGGGCAAGTACGACGGTGAGTATGATGGCGACTACGACGATACCTACCCCTTCAACTCCAACTCTATCTGTCCCTACAACTACACCTGCTCCTACAACTCTACCTGCTCCTACAACTCTACCTGCTCCTACAACTCCACCTGCTCCTACAACTCCACCTGCTCCTACAACCCCACCTACTCCTACAACCCCACCTCCCCCTCCCCCTCCAATCCAACCCACACCCCCAACCCCACCCACCACCACCAAACCAAACCCCCCCGCACCACGCCCAGACTCACCCCCCACACGCTCGCGCCGCTCAATGAGAAGCATGACGCCAATTTCCTACCAAGAAGTCGAAAGTGAAGTCGATGAGAAAACGGAAAAGAAATGGGCAAAGAAAAAGGGGGAAAAGGACGGGGAGCGTGGAGAAAAGGAGGATAGCGGGCGAGAGGAAAAGATGAGGGGGAAGAGCAAAGCAAAGAGGTTGAACAAGAGAACGTTGGGAAATGGACATGGAGAGGAGGATGCAGAGTGGATTCCGAAAAGGGTCAAGGCTGGGACGGGGAGGAAGGCTGGGACGGGGAGGAAGGCTGGGAAAAGGGGAAAACGGGGAGGGGGGGAAAATGGGATATGAATGATGGATGATGGATGAATACAGGATATGCAGTACAATCAAGTAAAAAGACGAGGTAGTCACATACTTTCATACTGCGCATATATATATATATATATACATACGTATGTGATATATTCAACCCCCATGACTATAACCTCCACACCCCCCATTCTCTCCACAGAGACATACACATACAACAACCAAATCAACCGAGCTACCGCCACCCACACTCCAAACCCCGCGTTTACAGACAAGATGCAAACGCACACCTCCAGCCCCCAGTAAACTCCGCCGCAACCCATTCTACCCCACCCCACCTACCACTTCCCCCCCTTCCCCTTCTTCTTCCCCTTCCCCTTATCCGCCCCCGCCTTACCCTGAGCCGCCGGCGTCCCCAAGCCCTTGTCCTCACCCACAACCCCACCCTGCGTGAGGCCCTCGGCCCTCTTTTTCCCCTTGCGGCCCTTCGGGCGGTAAGAGCTGCGATCGCGCAAGGGCAGCCAGCGCTCGGGATCCATTTGCTTGCCCTCTACAAAGTCTTTTGGCATGCGGGCTTTGCGCAGCCGCTTGGGGCGTCGGGGGGAGGAAGCAGGTGTCTTTGCGGGGGCGGTGCGTTTCTTGGGTTCGGGGGAGGAGGCGGTGGTGCTGGGGCTGCCAGAGGGGACGCCTGCTTTTTCGAGCTCGGCGGCGTTGATGTCGGAGACGAGGCGGGGGGCGTCGGGGAGGTAGGAGAGGAGGGAGGCGGGGATGGAGTCTGGATCTGTGATGCTGAATGCGGCCACGAGACCTGCAATCGCTGCACGGTCTTCCTTGTCCTGCTCGTACAGGGCCTGGAAGATTTCGCCGGCGACTTGCACCTTGTCGGTATTGTGCGTGTCCAGCAGGGCGGTCCCGGCGGCGATCAGGAGGGATTTCGAGGGCGCTTCCGTCTTGGATTTGTGCGGTTTTCGCCAGTATTCTGCAGCTTTTGCGAGCTCCGATTTGGACGAGCCTGGGCGGCCTTGTTGCGCGTAGAGGGAGACGAGCGTGGCGATGAGACCGGGTGCGAAGCGCACGTCCAAGTCTGAGGCGGTACCGCTCTGCTCCAGGCGCTTGAAGAAGGATTCCAAGAGATGGGTGGCGGCGGCGTAGTTGTTGGTGAGGACATAAAGGTGGGTGATGGTAAGAATCAAGCCCACGTCGGTCGGTCTCTTCTCCAGTAGTGGAACAATCTCCTTCAGCGCGGCCTTCTCCGTGTCCGCATTTCGGGCATGCGCTGCTGCGTTGAGGACCGCGGCCATGTTGACGGCTGGTGACAGCGTAGGCGTCGGTGCTGCCTTGATGACCTTTTCGGTGGATGATGCAACCCCCGTGACCTTTTGTGAGAGCAATGACATGACGTATTCATCCTGTCGGAGAATATTGGATTGGAAGGAAAAGTGTTGATCGGTGACTGGGGGTTTTGGTGACGAGTGGAAGAGGCGATGCGACAAGTATGGATTCGAGTGCTCTTTGGACGCCGCGATGCTGTTCACTTGGGCAATGTAACGGGTAGAGAGCTCCTTGATCCTGAGCTCGTTAGAAGAGCTGCATAAATCGGCATACAGACCAAACTTACTCGGCAAAGGGGATTGAAGTAGCTAGCTGTTCAGCCTCGTCAATCTTGCCCAACTGCGTCAAAACATAGACCTGTTGCACGGTGATGGGCAGCAATTCGGCTTGCTTCTCCGCATCGCTCAGGTCGGAAAGGGCATTGCAGAGATCCTTAGCTCTCTTCAAGCACACTTGGCCCTGCCCAAACTCGCCACGCGCTATGCTTCCACATGCGGCGTTGAAGGCGGTCTCGAAAACCTCGAGGTCCTCTCGGGTGGGTTGTTTCTTCTGCGCCAGCTCGCCCTGCCCTGTCCATTCCAATTGAGCATCGACGGCTCCCGAATTGATGCGAATGTCATATTCCTCATCCTGTACCGGTTGGCTGGCCAGTTCGCGATAGACTCTGGCGGCTTGTGCAAACTTCTCGGATCGGTAGGCCTGCCATGTGTCAACTATGTCTCTTGTCGCCATACACGCCGCCGTACTGCCTGAGCAAGCATATGCTTCATTCCACGGCCCATTACTGATCCCGCTGCCTCGGCCACTTCCACTGCCTTTGCTGCATTGCCCGTCTTATACAGGGCATAGGCATACTCGAATTGCGCCTTCTGTCGCAGTCCCTTGGCGTCCTCGAAGACCTTGAGCGCATCCTCGTACCGGTCGAGATGCAGAAGCGCAACGGCCTTGACGTGCTGGGCTTCTTCGTCACCTTTGGACTTCTTGATAGCAGCATTGGCAGCCTTCAAGACTTCATCGTGGTCGTCGAGTGAGGCTTGCGCAAGGAGCGAAGAGAGGGACTTAGTGGAGGCGGCCATTGTTAATTGCTGTATAGAAGACCATCCATGTGCGAAGCGATACAGCCAGGTGATGAGGGTGTGGGAGGCGCAGGCGGCGTCTTTGCGGGGGACGGGGTAGTGAAAGCAGGCGGGGATGTTGAAGGTGGGATGGTGGAAGCTCGCCTAAAGTTCCAACGCCTTGGGGAATGCAGGGATCTACCTACCTGTGCAATTACCCGCATGTCAACATCTCATGGAACTCCTAGCATGTCTAGGTAGTGTAGAATGTACTATTAGATGTCATTGCAAGTAATGATCTTCTACGTAACTCGAGCAAGAAGAGTGCACTCGAGATACCCTTTTTGCTGGTGCATGTCCAAGAAACTAGAAAAAAGATATGCCTCTCCCAATATCGTAGCCATAAACACAACCAAGCATCCCCTTCATCAGATCTCGTCATCAGATCTTTGTGGGGCCCCAAATCTATAACGCCAAAAAAATGATGATGCAAACACCAGCGCTAATGCATAATTCAGTTCACATCTTCGAATTCGTCCTCTTCACTTTCGTCAGCTCCATTGGATGCTGCTGGTGTGGCAGCATTGGAGGGGGTCGGAGCAGCTGATGATTCCAGTTTCACACGCTTTGCATCGGGAAGCGCACTTGGCGTGCCCACAGCCACGTCCTCAAACTCGTCCTCCTCATCATCATCCTCGTCGTCATCCTCTTCCTCTTCTTTTCGCCGTCGCTCTGCTTCTATCTGGGCAAAGACATCGTCGAGGTTCTGGTTACCGGGCTTAGTCTCTCCAGGCTCCAGTTTGATACCGGGAGCGCCAGTGCCAGAGACTTCCTCTTTGATCGTCGTGGCGTTGCCAGCAGCATCCTTGGTGACTGTTGATTGCGTGTGCCATGATGGCAGCTGGTTTTGCATAGCAATCTTCTCCTGTCGAGCCTTCTCCGCTGCCCGTTGCTTTTCGTTTTGCTCGGCACTCGACCCTATTTGTACACTAATCTTTTCGGGGCCCGTGTCCAGTCCCTTGACGGCCGTTGGGCGAGATATGGCCGTCTCGACAACCTCGTGTTTGGTTCCGGGGTCGATGGTCTTGTCTCGAGGTATCTCAATTCTTGCTTCAATGGCAGCCTTGCCCTCGACAGCTGGCACCTTTAACTTGTCCATTTCTGCCATGAGGGTTAGAATTGGACCGAACAGCTTGTTGAATTTGGCAGGTCGATCATCCACCGTGTCTGCTTGAATCTCGGGGTCTATCTCGTCCAACCGAAACCCACAGCGGGCACATATAAAGCCGCTGTCGTCTGGGCCAGGATCGGGATCGGGATGGTCAAGGGCTTGCATGGTTGTATACTGTGACTTGCATCGCTGGCATTTGAGCTCCGTCTTCTCGGTCGTCGGTTTCGCATCCTTCTTGACTGCGGCGTCTATCTTATGGACTCGGTACTTGATGGCATCAAAGGCGCGCGCCCAGTCAATGTAGAAGTACTCGCGGCTGGTCTGTTTGGTAGCTCCTTCTCGCATGACTTGCTGGGAGAAGCTATTTGTCATTAGTGAAGAAAAAACATTATGCCTTCTCTACGTACGACGAACACAAGCCCGCTTCCTTGAGCTTCCCCACGACTTTGCCCACGTGTTTGGAGTTCTTGCCGGCATCAAGTATGAGCACGAGATCATTCATGGGCATAGCAACATGGTAGCATAGCGCATCGAGGACTACGATGTGGTCCGTCTCGTAGAACATGCGCACCACCATGCGCACGAGCTGCTTTGCCGCCTCTACGGGATCCATGACCACCGTGGCCGCCGCCTTGTCGTGATGCGCCGGCGCAAGTTGTGAATGAATGAATGTCTCTGTAAACTATTCGGTATGGCCAAGATGGACGCGTTGACCCCCGAAGTTGTGTCAAGCTGTTGGTTGACTGGGCAGGCGTCCGATGCCTGGACAGATGCGAATGATGGAGAAAAAGAAAGTGCAGGCTTTCACTGTCGCAGCGCATGTGCAACAATGGAGCGGGCGGTCACAAAGGCGGTGAACCGTGCGCACGGCGCTAACTTGGAAATGTTTCTAAAGCCTCGAGAAAATCACTAACCCCACATTTCACTAGCAGCTTGCAAGTTGCAGTTCTCCCCCACTGACTTCATCTTCACCTTCACCCTCACCACCGCATGCCCAATTGCTTCTCCGCCTGGAGCAAGCTGCCGAGACGTCTCTCATTGCCTCAATGGTCGACAACGACACCAACAATGAGGGCTCCTGTAGCCAGGGCAATGCGCCAAATCACGACAAGAAGCGCAAATGGGCCGATCGCGACCGCCGCAACGCGTCGCGCGGAGGCGGACGGCTTCAGCACGGTAGCCGTCCGAGTAAGAAGAGGAATATGGGGCGTAAGGGCAATGAGTATGTCCCTGCCATGTGAGGTTGCGTCATGTCTCTAACTAAGCAAAGCTCCACACAACTAGACAGACGAGGCCGCAACCAAACCCAGCAGGCGCGCGACAAGGAGCACGAGGAAAAGGGCGAGAACGAGAAACCGGCATTACCATCAGCGTTCCCCGCAGAAGAAGTCGAGGCTGAGGAGCGCAGACCGAAGCGCAAAGTCGCAGTCATGATCGGATACTCGGGCACGGGCTACAAGGGAATGCAAATTGATTACAAGCAAAAGACAATTGAAGGCGATCTCTTCAACGCATTTGTGGCTGCCGGCGCCATTTCAAAGGCAAACGCCACTGATCACAAGAAATCATCCCTAGTCCGATGCGCGCGTACCGACAAAGGCGTCCATGCTGCGGGCAATGTTGTCTCACTCAAGCTGATCATCGAGGACGAGGATATTGTCCAGAAGATCAATGACAATCTCTCTGACCAAATCAGGGTGTGGGGCATCCAGCGCACCGTTGGATCTTTCAGCTGCTACCAGGCCTGCGACTCCCGATGGTACGAGTACTTGATTCCCACGCACTCTTTCCTCCCACCGCATCCGTCAAGTTTCCTGGGCAAGAAGTTGGAAGAGTATGCAGAAAAGGAAAATGACCTTGAGGGCTATCGATCACGACAGGCCGAGGTGGCCAACTTTTGGTCTGAAGTGGAGGAGAAACACATCAAGCCTATCCGAGACTCACTGGATGACTCCATACGGCCGCTGATCCATGAAGCTCTGTACAACGTCGAAGCTGTTGACGCAGAGCCAGGAGCAGACCCAATCATCGATGCTTCGATGGACGATAAAAATGCCGAAGAGACCACGTCTGCCACGGAAGGCGCAGAATCAACCACTGCTGAGACCGAAGTCAAAGAAGCCATCGACAGCATCCAACAAAATGACTCCAACCTCACCCTCGACAACACGACTGATGGCACCAAGCCCCTCCCTGAGGGCACAGCCAACGGATCCGCTCTAGAAGAAGCCGTCAAAGCCCTAAAGAAAGCATACATCGACGTCAAAAAGGCATACCGCATCTCACCCATCCGCCAAGAGCGCGTCCAAGCAGCCCTCAACAACTACCTCGGCACCCACAAGTACCACAACTACACCGTCCAAAAGAAATTCAGCGACAAGTCTGCCCAACGCTACATTAAATCCTTCAAGGTCGCCCCCAAGCCCATCATCATCAACGACACCGAATGGCTTAGCCTCAAAGTCCACGGCCAAAGCTTCATGATGCACCAGATTCGCAAAATGGTTGGCATGGCCGCCCTCAGTGTGCGTTGCGGCACAGACCCCAAGATCATCCAGGAAAGCTTTGGCAACACTGTGGTCAGAATTCCCAAGGCGCCCGGCTTGGGCTTGTTGCTCGAGCGCCCGGTCTTTGACTCATACAATGAGAAGCAGGCACGCGCAGCGGGCCGTGAGAGCATCGACTTCACAAAGTATGAAAAGGAGATTGAGGAATTCAAAGAGCGAGAGATTTATCAGAGGATTTTCAGGGAAGAGGCGCAGGGTAATCAGTGAGTTTTTTTTTCCTTCTCAAGTCGATTTGCGACATCTTTTCTTCCTTCTCCATCCATCTTTTTCAACCACTACCCCTGCCACACCTTCCCATTCTTCGACAAGAAATAACTAACGGCTTCTCCCCTCTCTTTCCTACAGATTCAACACCTTCTTCACTCATCTCGACAACTACAAGGATCCCCAATTCCTGTATCTCACCTCGGGCGGTATCGCAGCTACCAAGACCAAATTGGGTGGTGCGAAACACAAGCAGCAGGAGCGGTTTGAAGAGGACTCGGAGGATGAAGATGTTAGTGGCGGGGAGGGGTAGTGTACTGGGGTGTGGAGGTGGCTGAGGGCGTGGGCGTGGGTGTGCGCTGAATGCATGGTGGGAAGAGGGAAGAGAGTTGGGGGGCGGGGGTCTAGAGCTGTAGCGTTTACAGCATATGATCTTCAGGATGACCAAAATATAGAATCTATATTCTATAGGAAATGCACTCTTCAAACGTCTTGTTCGCACCTAAATCATCGTGTTTCCTTCCCTAAACCCAACCGTCGACATGCACTTCTCTGGTTTTCTTCGCAAAGCATTCTTCTGGAATACAAATGACATAAGGACCCTTTTCTTCCACATACGACCATAGGACACTGAAAACTAGGCTTCCCGTCCGCTCAGCCATATATAAGCAGTGTACCGGCGGATTAGTAGTTAGGTGGGTGACCACTAGCGAATCCCCGCTGTTGTATGTTTTTGCCTTTTTTTTTTCGTTGTTTTAGTAGTTGTTAGGCGCTGGTATCGTGGGGGTATCCAGCAGAGGCCTACATGTGCTATTCTATTCGTGGATAATTTATATTCATGGATTATACGCACCTTTTTGGTTGTTTAGCACAGTGGGGAATATACACCGTGACCTAATAGTGGTAGTATTAATAAGAGTAAGAGAGTAGTAGTAGGGTGCAAGTAATTATAGTGTGAACTGGTAGGACTGTTAGTTAGTGAACAATATTTCTAAAATCACGCTGTATAGATAGATGTTAACAAGTGCATACTTACAATACACTATACAATCATGTACAAAAAAACCTGGTCCTTATCGTGGTATACTGTCATAGTTACAGTATACACCAAAACATGCATGCATCAGCAGAGCCTAGGAAGCCCCAAACCACGCATGTAAACCTATCAAAGTTTCTAGAATTACAAGCCCACCTCACCCACTAGTAGCGGCAAAAGATAGCATCCTCATAATCATCGTCATTGCCATCTACACATACGCATCAATCGCTACCCTACGCCGTCCTAGCCACTGCGCTCTTCGGCTCGCCCATATCTTGCTCGGTGAAGTAGAAATTTTCCTCTGGGATGCGTCCACGGGTAAATTGGGGCTCGGAGCCCTTCACATAAATGTCCTCGAACAGGACCTTGGGCGTGGGGTCAGGAGCAGGCATCTTCTCGGCAATGGCGACTTCAGCGTCGACTTCGGAGCGGGCTTGCTTGTCAATGGCCTTGAGCTCTTCTTCGCTGGTGACGCCCCAGTCGAGGAGTTTTTGCTTGAGGCCGGCGATGGGGTCTTGGGTGCTGCGCATGCGTTGGATTTCTTCGCGCGTCTGAGAGATGTGTTAGTGTAGTAAGCTAGGGGAAGGACAGAGGACTTACGCGGTATGTGGTTCCGGGGTCAGACATGGAGTGGCCTCCGTAGCGGTAGGTGACGTATTCGTAGACAAGAGGGCCCTTGCCGGCGGCGGTGTATTCCTTTCCGTACTGGACAGCAGCCTTAACAGCTAAGACATCCATGCCGTTGATCTTCAGACCGGGAATGTATTGTCCACGCTTGTAGTATTCGGTGATGGCGGAGGAACGGTTAGCAGCGGTACCCATACCGTACTTGTTGTCTGGTCCACCGTTAGTTTCATGCCTCCTTCAGATGGTGTAATTTGTACGCACTCTCGCAGCCAAAGATGATGGGCAGGTTCCACAGCTTGGCCATGTTGTATGCCTCAAAGACCTGTCCCTGGTTGGAAGCACCGTCTCCGTAGAGCGCAAGCGTAACATTCTTCTTGTTCTCGTACTGGCACGCAAAAGCGATGCCAGCACCGACAGGGACCTGAGCACCGACAATGCCGTTTCCGCCGTAGAAACCGGGAGCGAACATGTGCATGGATCCACCCTTGCCGTATGCGATACCCTCCCGTCTTCCGAGCAATTCTCCGATGATGGACTTGACAGATGCGCCGCGCATCAGAGCGAAGCCGTGGCAGCGGTAGGCGGTGATGACGTGGTCGGATCGTTCAATCGCATGCTCAATACCGACAGCGACGGCCTCTTGACCAGTGGAAAGATGGCAAAAACCGCGAATCTTCTTCTCCTTGTAGAGTCTGTCGGCGGCCATTTCCATGCGTCTAGATTGAATCCCCGCGTTAGCTTCTTTCCAGACGGTATAACAGAATGGAAGAATCCTACCGCATGGCTACCATGTCGTAATACATCTTCTTCAACTCCTTCTTGGTCGTGTTGAGCGTGTAGGCGGGGGGGTCGAGTTCGTATGTCTCAAACGACTCATCGGAAAGGCGGACCTCGAAGGGCTTGTCATCCTCCTGCAGCCGGTCAATCATCTGTCGCATCTTCTGTCGCCCTCGATTGGCATATCGGCGGTATATCTTACCTCTGGCACCTTTTCCGGGTCGGTATGCGATGAAGCGGCGTCTGTGGTCACGAACCTGAAGGCAGGCCGCGCAGCAGGGGCGACGACATTGCGGCGAAAGGGCGACGCAATGCTTCTCCTGATTGTCCGGGACAGCATGGTGATACCGAGGTGAGGTAGAGGGTGAATTGGGTGGGAGGGAGTGTCGTCGTCGACCGCGCGGGACTCAAAAAAGTGGTTGAGCTTCGCCAGCTCGGGGATCCGCTTCCCGCCAAGCCATACCGGTAAACTTTGCCTCAACAGCGCGGATTCCACCAACCCTCAACATCACGTCTCACTCAGCTTTTCAGCCTTGCCGGACTTCAGCACATACCAACTCCGAACAAACAGGGCACGCAACTCTTGTTGTCGGATACCTGATATACGAAGTCTTGCATAGATTTTGCCGAAGAGCAGATCCATGCCATCTCACTTGTTATCCTCCGACTTTCAGTGTTCACGCACCAGACCTGATCAAATTACGAGCGTTTAGACACATCACCGTTTTACATGTCGATAGGATGAAACCTCAGCTTACAGCCTGCTCATGGGTTAGAATCGATTTTAAATAGATGCCTAAGCAGAGATGGCAAACTACTGGTGACTGGACGGGGTTGTTGATACACCCCAGTCCATTGCCGTGTTGATCATGCAACTGTGCCACCTTCAGCGCTTACCTACAGGTATCGTCCGAAACTGGTTCGAAAAAAATGTTTGACTTCATCCTTCTGGGATTCTCTCTGCACTGTTAATTGTTTTCTCTTTTATTCGCTTGTCTCTTTGTTTTCATCAGAACGGTTCCATTCCTTTCTTCCCAACATCGTCTTCTTTAAAGTCACTATCTGTCTCCCATCTAGCGGTAGATTTTGCTCGCTCGTTGTCGATCTTCAGTCCCGCTTCCCTTCGATCAGATTGATACCATAGGATACTAATCTATCGGATGGCTCATCATCCTGTAAACTCATATAGCGCCATTGTGATCCTACTTTTGAAGGCCAATGTCCAGTAGTACTCCTTGTGGTCCTTCATATCGCTACGAACCTCTTGATGCTTCAGTAGGCTCCATACGCTTACTCACAATTCTGCCTCATCTCTCTGGCACTGGACTCATACAGTGCAAGATCTGGCACGATACTGTCGATGCCACGTACACGTGTCTCTCATATGCTTGGGGCTCTGAAGATGGCGAGCAACTTATTTTGCTGAACGGAAATGAGTTTCGCGTGCGCAAGAACCTCTGGGACTTTATGAAAACGGCCAAGCAGAAGTATGCCGACCAACCCCGTAGCTTTTGGATCGACGCCCTGTCAATCGACCAAGAATCTAGAACAGAGCGCAATCACCAAGTAGCGCAAATGGGTCTAGTCTACTCCAATGGCGTTGAAGTTATATCCTGGCTAGGTCTTGATCAGCGTATTTGTCGAGCCATCAAAATGATTCTGCCGCCCTCGCCGTATTATACGGCTTTCTGTAAAGGAGAAGGGTTTAAAATATGGGATCAACTCAACCCACAACTGCCCGGGCAACTCAAACGCGACTGGCTGGCAGTCACCAGAGCCGATTATTGGATGCGAGCCTGGATCACGCAGGAGATTTACCTTGCGCGGAAAGTAATACTTCTGGTTGACAATGTCGAAATCGAAGCCACATACATGTCACGAATGGCTCCATTCCTTGGCCACATCAATGAGCTCGAGGGAGACAAATGGCTGAAGCCCGAATACTGGGATACCGATACCAGAGTGTTCTTTACCTACTTGTACGCTTTTGCTAACAAAGCTCCGACCAAACTGAGGCTCATTGATTTCTTCAACCTATTACCCGGCAGAGTGTGCGAACATCCCCGTGACCGTGTCTACTCGTTGTTGGCCCTTGCATCGGACACGAATGGCATCACAGTCGACTATAATGGGCCCATCAGTGACGTCGTCTTGCAACTGTTACGCACATACCGCACTACAATGTGTATGTGCTTCTGGTTCTACATCATAGACATGCTACGATGTCGTCTCGGTCGCGAAGACGGCCTAGCAAATGCACAACCCGTTTTCAGGATCCCAATGATGATTATTGACCCCGAGTTCGTCATGGGACCTGATCTATCAGATTCATACTACACATGCCCTGGTTGCCAAACCCGCATGCCAGGCGACACCTATCACGTGTCTTCAGACCAATGCTCTCTCTGCGTCAAGGAGCTATGCCTTAGTGTCCCAGCCGGCCATTTGAATCTACAAAGAATCAGGACCGGGCACGGCTCCAGGTATACTATCAGCAGAGACAATGGACACCCTTTCGACGTCTTCCATATCGAGTTCGGGGTCAACACCTCGGGGCATGATTGGCATAGAAACCTGGTTACGCTCAACGTCTACCTTACTGTTGATGTGGTTACCCAAGTCTTCGATTACGATGGGAGCCCGCATCACTCGTCTAATGTTCCATTTGGTATTTGCGCGGCAGCGACGAGGGGCGAAACGAGGATAGCTTTTCTTGAGAAGTTCGACCCTCGGAAATGCTATTAGCCAGTACATGCACCTGTTGTTCCTCACTTCAGGCTGTCGAAGAGACAGAAATGTATATAGAAGGTCATTTGCCGGTAGGCCTGCTTTCAGACCACTTGGCACTATTTATACATAATGACATCTTTACCATGTCAACAATCGTTCAAATTACGCTGCCGCCTGAAGAACCTGATTCTGACTGGCAAAAAACTCCTTTTGGGCTGCACAGCGCTCACTCGTGCACTTGGGACACCTCAGGGTCAGCTGCGGACTACACGCCTTTCCGCTCTCGAGATGTGACTTTGCTAAATCGGCGAGCGCCTGGATGAAAATGGGGCTGTCGTTGAGACTGTCGGCGCGCTTTACACCTTCGTGGCCTTCGGCGTCCTCGCCAATGACTTCCTTGTCCAATTCGTAGAGTGTTTCAATGTGATCGCTGGTGAATGCAATGGGCACAAGGAGCATGTCTGTTTGTCCCTTCTTCATGTATTCCTTGACTGTGTCGGAAGTTTGCGCACCGAGCCAGGGCTGAGGGCCGACTTGCGATTGCCATACGAGACGGTATTTGTGCTTCATGCCAAGGCGTTGCATGACGGCGTAGACTGTGGCGGCGACCTCGGCTGGATATGGGTCACCGCGATTGACAACGGTCATGGGTAGACTATGGGCTGAGAAGAGAATGACGACGTTGTCTCTTCGATCCTCGGGGTATTCGGCAAGCTTCTTCTCGATGTTCGTTGCGAAAGCTTCGACGAGGCCTGGATGTGCTGGCCAGCGGTCGATGACACTCCATTTAATCGCACCTTCTGGCTCGGCTTCTCCATTGGCCCTCTTGCCTTCCAGCCTTGTACGCCACTTCCATAGCTCGTTCAGTGAGGACCCCGTTGTGGAGCATGAATACTGAGGATACTGGGTAAAAGCCACTGCTCTGCCGCCGTTACCGCCGCCAAATCCATCTGCCAGCATCTTCTTGTATGTATCTTCTGTAAGGGGATTGGCATATCGAAAGGCAACGTATGGCTTGTGCGGCGCAGTCTCTGGAGATGTCTTGTCGAGGATCTTGCACATTTCAGCAGCCTGGTGTTCCGACCATTTCCGGATAGGCGATCCGCCACCAATTTCTGCATATTGCTTTTGGATTTTTGGTGTCCGTCTCCGTGCAATGTAGGGGCCAATGTAGTTCTGAAGTGGTCCGAGTGGGATGAGATCTTTGTCAGCCTGCGAAGGTGAGTAAGTGCTTCACGACAAGGATATAGAAGCTGCATACAAACAACATGCTTAGGAAACCATGGACTTCATCTGTTGTCGCAGGCCCGCCCATGTTCATGAAGACCATAGCAGTAGGCCCCTTTGAACCAGTTGGCACTTGTTGTGGGGCGATAGATGCATTGCCTCTTCTCCATTGCGAGCTGTATGGCGACAGGATACATGTGGCGGGGCGAGTCGCAGCGCGCGAAAAAGGTGCGCGGAGAGCCATTGTGAAAGTAGTTCAATGAACTACCAAATTACCAGGTAGGAGCCGGTCTTTGAAGTGAAAGTCAGGAGCCGTGGGCGGAACAGCCGAGTGAATAATGTCCTTGGTTTTGATAGCGGAGAATAAAGCTTTAGCCAATGGCAGCCACTTCGATCATTGTTGATGACGCGCCCTGGAGATCGGGGCGCTAACGAGGGAAGCCGAAAGACGGTGCACGTGCCGACGTGTTGGGGCTAAGCGCGTCTTAACCACACTATCAACTACTGCTGCTGCCTTACATCCTGTGTTTGCCTGGCTATACGCTAGCTTTCTGTCTTCAAAGCTGTCAGTCTGGCTCTGAGCATCCAGTCTTGAATATAATCAGCACATACTTTACTTTACTTTAGTTCGCGTCACTCCACTCGGCAATTGCATATTCATACAATTTCAAGACTTCAGTAGTGAGCCATGGCGGACCCACAAGATAATCGATCGAGTGAAGAGCAGGAAGAGGAAGAAGAAGAAATTGATGACTCTGTATGCTCTCAACTTGCACTGGTCCTTGCCATCTACTGACATCTCTTAAGAGCTACAAGACTATCAAGGATGCTGTGCTCTTCGCCATTGATGTCAGCCCCACAATGTTAGAACGACCTCCCAAGTCAGAAGACAAGAAAGCAGATCGTGACTCTCCGACATCTGCCGCGCTAAAATGTGCCTATCAATTGATGCAGCAGCGTATCATCTCGAATCCAAACGACATGATGGGCATCTTATTGTTTGGCACTGAGCAAACTGACTTGAAAGATGGGGACAGCACGTTTCAGCATTGCTACCTACTGGCAGACCTCGATGTCCCATCAGCACAAGATGTAAAAAGTCTACGAGATCTAGTCGAGGATGAAGAAGAGGCAGAAAAGATTCTTAAGCCTGCTAAAGAAGGCTACAGCATATCGACAGTGCTCTTCTGCGCAAACCAAATCTTCACAACAAAAGCGCCCAACTTCTCCTCGAGAAGACTGTTCCTGGTAACAGACAACGACTATCCTGCCAAAATCAAGGCGGACAAAGATACAGCAGTGACTCGTGCACGAGATTTGTATGACTTGGGTTGCACAATCGATCTATTCCCAATATCTCAACCTGGCCATACCTTCGACCGCTCTCGCTTCTACGATGATCTTGTGTATCCCACATCACCTTCAGATCCAGACGCACCGATTTCCCTAGCATCCACGACCAAAATCGCAAAGTCTGGTGAAGGCATCTCCCTCCTTAAACAGCTCATCTCATCAATCAACTCCAAAGCCACACCTCGCCGCGCTCTATTCACCCTCCCTCTTGAACTGGGACCGGACTTCCGCATTGGTGTAAAAGGCTACGTCCTGATCAAACGCCAAGAACATGTCAAGTCCTGCTACGTCTGGGTGGGAGGCGAGAAGCCCCAAATCGCCACCTCCTCGACGTCGCACTTGGCCGACGACTCTGCGCGTACCATCGAAAAGACAGAGCTGCAAAAAGCCTACAAGTTTGGCGGCGAGGCGATTACCTTCACTCCAGAGGAAATCACCAAAATACGACAATGTTTTGGTGATCCCGTGATCCGCATCATCGGCTTCAAGCCCATCTCCTGTCTCCCTCTATGGGCAAACGTCAACAAAGCAACGTTCCTCTACCCCTCAGAAGTAGATTACATAGGATCTACCCGGGTCTTCGCCGCCCTTCAGCAAAAATTGCTCAAATCCCAGAAAATGGGCCTCGTATGGTTCATAGCGCGCCGCAACGCCTCACCCGCCCTCTGCGCCCTCATCCCCTCCGAGGAAAAACTCAACGCAGACGGTGAACAAACCACACCACCAGGCCTCTGGCTCATCCCCCTCCCCTTCGCCGACGACCTCCGCCAATTCCCCGAACCACCCGACAGCCCGCTCAGAACCACAAACGAGCTCACCGACAAAATGCGCCTCATCATCGAGCAACTCCAACTCCCAAAGGGCATGTACGATCCCTCAAAGTACCCAAACCCCAATCTCCAATGGTTCTACCGCGTCCTCCAGGCCCTCGCCCTCGAAGACGAAATCCCCGAGAAACCAGACGACAAGACGATTCCGCGCTACAAGCAAATCGACAAGCGCTGCGGCGAGTACATTGAGGATTTCGCACGCGAGTTCAACGTTGCGTTTGCGTCGCAGCAGAAGACGTCGTTGGCGGATCGGACGGCGAAGAAGCGCGGGGCGGGTGGACAGGAGATGCCAGCTAAGCGGGTGAAGAAGGAGCCCCAGGCTAAGCAGATAGAGGGCGGTGATGACGAGGCTGGGATGACGGATCAACAGATGGCCGAGTTGAATGATAAGGGTCAGATTAGCAAACAGACTGTTGCTGTGTTGAGGGATTGGCTTGCGCAGAGGGGACAAAGTACGGTGGGGAAGAAGGCTGAGCTGTTGGAGAGGGTACAGATGTATGTCGAGGGCAAGGGACTTTGACATTTTCGTGCGAGCTCGCTGATACCCGTGGCACAATCTCGGTATGGGACATCTGCGCATCTTTTTTTTTACAATTGAAAGAGCTGTAAACTGACGATTCTCACCATGTTTCGCTCCCCAGCCATGTCCACAGAACCGTAGAATAAGTACGTACAAACGCAGTGTCTACTGGTGAAAAATCGCAACGTGTAATTGGTGCTTATGACGCTTCTTTCCCTCTCCCTTTGGTGTATACATGCGTCCTGTCTTTTTGTGTTGGCACGTATTCGGCGTAATGTCGAGACTCAAACTTTCCTGCCCACTCTTTCCCCTCCTTAAACGTATACTTGTTATCTATATGACCTTTGTTCTGCGACGTATAAAAATCAATCTGCATCTGAAAAGAAAAAACCCGCCAGCTGTCCAAAAACCTGCGTCTCTCGTGTCGAGCTATGCTAAATCTTCTACTTCATCTACCAGTCCGACCTCGACACGACGACTGGGTGTACTCTGGGGTCTGTTGCCTATTTTTAATTTGCGCTCCTTGCGTTTGCTGATAGGCCTGAAGCCTTGACGAATGCACATTGGCCGGGGCAATGTGACGACGTCTCATTGATGCCCTTCAAAAGAGGTAGATGAACGAGTCCCCAGGACAAACTACGGTGTACTGTATAACGCCAGACGAGCGGGCAAAAGCCTACTAAGCGCGTGAAAAGGTGTGAAAAGATTCAAGTTCAGGGAATGACGGAGAACGTATGGGATCCTTGCGCGTATGTGATCCAGCGATTATGCTATGCGCAGTTAGTACAATGAATCGATGAACAAGCCAGGGATTGCTGGGTCATTGTACCTTTGCGAGTTGGAAGCCTAATCTGAGTACCCTTTCGATGCGGCATTTGACGGTACTCGCCAGCTCCAGATATCTCTCCTCCTCATCATGCTCTCTCTCAAACCACTTTCGCGGATAGTAGTCGTGGGCCCAAATTAATCCGCGAACGAGATAGTCTTCCGGTAGCGGGAGCTCGTCGACCCGTTCATGCGTGCCAGGGAAGACATCCGCGGAGAGCAACATGTCCATGTTCTGCACCTGCGTCGGGCCTTGGCTTTGCAATTGGGTTTCAGTCTTGACCAACGTGTTGAGGAAGGCAACTAGTTCAGCCCAAGGGATTTCATTCAAGAGATACGCAACGTATTTGTTTGCAGCAAAAGTGGTTAGGTAAGAGAGCATGATGTGGACGTGAGGAAGCACATTCTTGTCACCAATACGGCGGAGGATCAAGGCGAAGGTTTCGTTGGTGAGGGAGTTGGCTGCCTTGAAAATGGGTTTGTCAACAAACTCCTCGATCTTTTCCGCGAGTTCTTCTTCTGGGATTGACGGTGGGCTGGGTTCTTGCTGATCGGCTGGAGAGGCAGTACGGAGGGTTTCCTCCAGGTTCGGTGGTGAAGTCTTCGCTTTCTCTTGGAGCTCAGTCAAGAACACCTCGCGCAGAAGATTTCCCTCTTCTCCGTGCTCAAACCCACTGGCCAAATTCGTTACAGCTATATAAACGCCCTGTTCCTTCCACTTGGCAGTAACACGACCAATATGACTGTCCAACCCATCCAAAAAGTCCTTTTTGGAGACCAGAAAATCTTCCCCAGGCAGGCGCTCAAAGAGCAGAGCATGCGCCTTGATAAAGTTGGTATCGATGGGCAGCGCGTGCGAGTAAGTAGCCGCTGTGCGTCCGAGAATGGGATCTAGTAGGGTGAGAATGGAGTCTCGGGCGCTGGCAAAGGGCTTCACGCAGGTGAGAGAGCGGGCGTAGTAGTAAAGCTGCTGGAGCGCGTTGGGCCGAGCAAGGATGGCCAAGTGGTGGTACAGCCGGCCAACCGTGGGGTTCTTATCTGCGGCCTTTGTGTACCAAGAGCGGGCGACGCCGGCCCAGGTTTCGCGGTCGCGAATATCTTCATCCTCAATCGCCATCCTATAACGGCCCAAATCGCCGAGACATTCGATCCAGGTATCCTCGAATGCGGGAACGGTCTCATAAAGCAAGGCCATCATTTGGTAGGCGAGGTAGATGAATGCCAACATGTAATCAATGCTGTCTGGGAGCCGGCGGCGGAGAAGTTCCAGAAATGAGTGAATGCCGTGTTTCCACATGCGCGCAGGCATAGAGTACTTAGCTGCAAGTCGCCTAAGAACGGGAGAAGCCGAAGGGTGTTGAGAGGCTAGAAAGACTGCATCACGTGAATGATCAGCATTCGTTGGTTCCAGAGTGGACACTTGATCGGGACTTACAGTCATGATGCTCATGCAGTAGCGTTCGGTGCAAAGCAATGAGCGCTTGCCAATGATCAGAGGCTAGTTTAGAATCGGAATTATCTTGTGCGGCTGCGGCTTGAGCTCGATCAACATGTATACACTTGTTTTCAACCATTGTTAGTCCGGCATATATAGACTTTACTTCAGATGCAAGTTGCTCCTGAGAGATAGGCCGGCTATCTGGCTGTAAGAGCAGTCCAGGATAGCGCGGATCGTATCTTTGAAGTTCTATTAGGCCTGGCTGCCGCTGAGAATGCTGCTGCTTGGACGCGACACGGTGAGGAGACTGACGCGCGGGTGATTTCGGTAGAGGCACGATGGTCTTGGTAGTATCCGTCGGCCTATCCGTTGATGGTTCCGGCGAGGATTGATATAAAGGCGAGCCGCCGTTTGCCTCATGCTTAGGGTTGTAAAGGCGGTGATCTTGTGACTTTGGCTTACTTCGATCCGATGGAATGGTATACGGCATCTTTCTTGAGAATTCAGCATCCATCTGAGGCTCGGATTCGGCCGGACGCTTATTTCTTAAGGGAGGGGATGGTTGGCGTTCAATCTTGGCATCCAGGCTAAGGCCAGCAATGTCTGGTGTAGAACGATCCCCAGCGGTCGCTTCTGACATTGGCTCTGATCTCCTAGCAGCGTTAAAACATGATGAAGACATGGATAGGGCTTGTCAATCACCTGAGTTTCAAGGCCGCTTCCTTTAGACGAGAACGAGCAAGGCGCGGCTCGAGACCCTGTATTTCCGAACTATGGTCGGCCTTCACGTGATCGAAGAGCTGATATACATTCTGGAAGATCCGATCGTGATGATCTGAGAATGGGCAAGGCAGCGTTCCGCCATGCGATTCTGCCTTGCTCTGCGTCCGAAGGGCCGTCACGAAGCGCGACTCGACCACGTCTCCCGAATCCATTCTTCAGGCGGATGACTACTCCAATGGGTGCCCTTTGCTTTCAGGTTTTGAGTTGGGGTATGCAGTATGTGTTGTTGAGTGAAACGAAGGCCAGGCGATCTTATTGGCCGACACAACATGCCCAAACGTGCGCACCTGTATAGCCAATGTGATACGTGTGGCAGCTGGATGCAGACTTGTACGCTCTTTTGCTTTACATGGTCTCCGGATGATTACGCTATTGTGGCACGTTGGTTCATTTGGCAGTGGGTGCTCAGATCTGGAAGGGGGGGCGGAAATGGTAGGTAATGGTTAGGTACAGTACGGTAAGGCTTTGTGGAGAAGAGATCCGAGCAACGGTTGACTGTCTCGAGGAGGGGCGAAAGAGAGGCCGTCGTGTGCGCAATCGGATGGAGAGTAGATGAAGAGTAGATGAAGCAAGTCCAGCAAAAGATACAGGGACTGAAGGGATTGAATGAGACTCTGGACTGGTTTAAGGGGGAGGGGGTTTTGGAGCAGAGCCGCAGTCGTGAGCAGCGTTGGGGGAACAGGCAACAAGGCAACGGGCGGGCCCACGGCGGTTGGCTGCGACAGCGACTCCTTCCTAGCCAGCGTGGAAAACCCCCGAATCCCTGCACAGGCGCTGGCGAGAGTTGGTCCTCCGCCGATGGAATAGGGTGTCTTCGAGCAGGCAAAAAAAAAAAAAGGCGAGAATGTGGTCCCTCATGCGCGCACCATTTCTCTTTGCGTTGCCTAGTAAAACTACTTTCCGTTTGTTAGGTGCCTGTGCCTGTGCCTGTGCCTGTGCCTGTGCCTGTGCCTGTGCCTGTGCCTCTGTCTGTGCCTGTGCCTCTGTCTGTGCCTGTGCCTGTGCCTGTTGGGTGCACACCCATCCCAAAGTGACTTTGACAGAGTGTGTCTACCCAACGTACTAGTCATCTCGGCTAGTTTGAGGATCACGTTACTTGTCTTGTGCCATCAAAGCAGCCAGGATGTAGCAGTGGCAAATCACATGATACTCAAACTACCCGACCGCATGAGTACCTGCATGCCTCACATACACATACCCAACATTCGTCACATAGCCACATCAAGACCACACCATCCCATCAGGTCACGGGCCATACGGTAGGTACGATGATAAGATCAAGTGCCAACATGCAATTCCACTGCAGTCTCAGACCAGCGGCAGACTGGGCCATGGTTGGCTCATCATCAGAGTGTCGGCCTCCAATGTGGCCTGCGCGCTTGTAACCTACCGTAGATGACTTTGCGCCTCGGAAGCTGCAACGGCTTTCTTACCTACCCGCACAAGTGTAGCTACCTAGAGTACTCTCATCAAGAGGCAGTTTGCCCGCGATCCTGACTCTGATCCTGTCATCTGGCCCTTTTGCATCACCGCTGAGGAGAGGGCATCGTCCGACCAGCACTCTGTCGCCCTATCACTGCTCTCGTAAACCTGACAGCACTCCCATCTTCGCACACTCACTCAGCGTCGGGAGCTGTTGCATCGACACTCTGACCGGACCTACCCGGAGCACGAGACCACGCCCTGCGCAGGCAACCACCGTTCCTCCGCTATTGCCCTCCTTCGGCTCAGCGCAGTGTCTGACCATCGTAGACCGCGGACAGGAGCCCAAGCGGGCGTGAGTCATGCCCGCCGTAGCGACATTGGGTGTTAGTGTCGCGAGAGAAGGACCTCTGTCTGGACGATGCGCTCGATCATCATCAAGCCTCGAGCTGTCAGGAAGGGCTTCAAGGCTGACACGGAACAGCCCAACACAGAACAGCCCAAGGCGTGCAATAGGAGGTATCCCAAGCTGAAAACAAGCACCAAGTCCAGTTATACGTTGTCCACGCAGTTGCATGTTACGCCGCCTAGTCTTCTGAACCAACCGACAGCTGTCGCGACAATTCATCAGGGGGCTTCCAGCAGATCCTCGGAAACGGTCGTAGAGGAAGAGGGAGGTGGCACTGTACTACCACTTCAGAAGAGACACATTGTCCTATTTTTTGAATCACTTTGCAGGAGCTGGATCCCTTGAGATGCCTCGCTGTAGCTTCTGGGCGTGTCTGGAATGAATTGGCCCAAGTTCAGTGACACAGACTGGGGAAGCCACGAATCAACATCTCGCACCTGATGCCGTATCCGGGACAGCGTCCGTGGAGGGTGATTTGCGGCCTGAAGATTTCCAATTCCACGAGAGGGCACTGGATTCATGCAGCCATACATGGGACAACGTCCTTTCCAGTCCCGAAACAGAGAACCGGTGTCCTTCTGGGCATTCAGAAACGACAACGAAAGCCCAACGGAGAGCTGTATCTTGAAGGAATTGGACGGAGCAAGATGATGGAAGAGATGGCGTTGGACTCTACGACTCCGCGGGTCATGGCAATTCCGCGGGAGTACACAATTGATCAACCGCGGGCAGCGACGTCCAGCCATGTACTCTTTCACAACAGCAAAGGACATTACAGCATTGCCCTGTATGAGGTTGAACAAAGCGGTTGCTTGCAACCACACAGCATGGAATCGCCGGTTTCTTAGATACTCGGCGCAACACGATGCGCACATTGAATGCACCCAGTACATTGTCTCTACAGACTTCGAAAACGAGCATTTCCTTGCAACCTCGGGCTAACTGGAAACTCTCGCCCGCATACAAGGGTAACAAAGAATCGATAACGCCATGTGCTTTTGCCACGTGGAGCATGCTACCTACCCAATCTCCCTTGGGGCCAATTAGCCACTTTGTCACACTCGGATATCGCAAAACCCCAAATCGCATACAAAGTACACACGTACCGTGTATCCCCCCACCCCAGCCCTCGTCCCACGTCCCCCATGCCAAGCTTGCAACCCATGGGCGCACAAACACTCCACCATTCCTCTGATCCCGGAAGCAAGCTGATTTACATACATGAACATACATATAACCCCCTTCCCCCCACCCCGCATCGCACAAGATGTTCCAGCACACTCTCACAGAAACATCGGGAATCTGATTTGTTCCCCCCGTTTACCGGTCAGAACATTCTTCCTCCGTTCTTGAAACAGGGTGGACGTGAGGGACTGCTGACATGCGCGTCGCAGTTTTCCTTGTTTTGTATTTTGTTTTGACGTCTTGGTTGTCGGGGAGCGTACGTACAATACTACGACCTGTAGGGTAGGCTTGAAAGGGGATGTTGTGGAACCATGGGGAGAATCGCGGTGGTTGGTAGCTATTTTTGCCTTTTATTCGCGGCTTTTTGTAATACAGCACATCGACTGTCCATTTCGCCATCGGCATAACGGGATCCTTTATGCAGGTCAGCCTGTGTCAAAATCGGCAACTTGCTTCGCCAAGGATGCGGAAGTGCATGGCTGTAGAGTGGCTAGATTGTCAAGTGTATACTCCATCGCCGGCTTGCCTGGCCTGGCCGCATTGCACAGTATTGTATCTCGGGCTTATACTACTCTAGTAGAAAGACGCATGACAGGCGCGGTTGGACGGGAACACATTTGCGTGGCTTGGAAAAGCGGGGTATGGAGGCTGGGATGAAGGTCAGAACACCGATTGCGGATTGACATATACCCAGACACCAGATCAATGGGACGTGTGACTGAGTGGGCTTGTGCGTAGATTATGTAGGGCCCATGTTGGGTTCTGCAAGCATTCATACGGGCCCATTGGTGTGTGTAGGTATATGCGGCAAATGCGTACCCATGCAAGATCATGGGCTTTTGGTAGGTATATCTGTGGTGGAGGTGGAAGACTGCGCACGCCATGTCTACCTACCAACCTCCTATAGCATGTGCCTTCACTTTGAGCCTTGGGGAATATCAATATGCCCAGAGTCATCTAGGCTGTCGACGTGAACCAATCGAAGTTTCGAGTCGCCTTATCTGCTCCCAACTGGAGTTGGGGTAGGTAATATACTGACGTGTCCATGATACTCAACATGCATTGGATGTGTTATTAAGGCCGACGATTGGCTCTCGGCGCATTCAGAATACAAAGAGGCCGGCTGGAGGAATGGGCATCAAAAATGCACATGTCTGGCAGGCAAAGGACGACGGTTGGGATCAATCCGGGCGAAATGGAGCATTCTTGATACCGGTAGACCCGCGTGATCGCCGATATACCGGTACCCAAAGTAGATCAGGCAGAAGGACGGGCGATCTACATCCTGGAGCCTATGCTTTCCCTCGAGCGACGGGTATCTTGCACGACAGTCTGGGAGACCGATAGTGGAAGCGAAAAATACGCGGACACGCCATGGCGTTTTGGAAGTCTACAGCCATGTACAGCCACGATAACATGCGGTGATGTGGTCAGATGGTCTCTCATCGAGCAGGAGACATGTCCATCCTACACCAAAGCTACCGCGCGAACCCCCAATCACAATCAAAAAGAAAGATGGCGCAAGATAATCCTGACGTGGACATGATTGTGTGTGTACGTGTGCATGTCTGCTTTCTCTTTTCCCAACGTCACAAGCCTGTAGGCTGTAATCAGCGCCTGGGGCATCGACAGACATTGGTGGTTAGCACGGCTGGTGAAGGAGAACTCTCTGTAAAACGCAACCTAGAATACCGGTACTAACCAGGCAAAGTCTTGCTCACCTACAGCCGTAATCTGAAATTGTGCATATCTGCGCTAATACTCTCCTCCATCACCAATAGCCCAAGTAGGCAAGTCAACTTGGCGAGATGCAAGAAGCATCATTGAGGCTGCGGTTGGTGCAACATCAACGATCATTGGAGAAACAAAAGTACGATACTAGCACAATGTCGCAGGATTCCATCTGCCTTGAGTAAGGATCACGTTTGTTCTTCTAGTCTTGCGAACGCGTGCCAAGAATAGGTATTTGGATACCCAGGTAGTTGAGATATAGGGCTGACTCCTGCTTAGCTAAGCTCTTAGGTACCCGCGGCTAGCAAATGTCTTGCATGTGGCTTACTACTCTTGGACCCGGAATACTCTAGTAGAGATACCAATGTTCGGGCTTGACCGGTGGGCGTTTCATTGCACGCTCTAACATGTGGAGCCCTTGCAGTCGCACGGCATGTCACTGCATGGGGGCCGCGATCGATCACTACGACACCCCCTCGGAAAGCTACTTTGACTGTGAAGCAGGGCTGTTGCTACTACTAGGCAAACAGTGTATGTACCTTGATCACACCATGTCCGCTTTGATTCTTCCGTGGGAAATGACTTGTTTAACTCGGCTGTCTGTGACTCACCGGACGGTCGCTCTCCTGAGCCAGAAGGGAAAAGATCAGATGAGTACCTGAGCAGAGTACCACAACGATGCAGTCTTTTGCCCTAATCCACCTACAGTGTAACCATGGTACCGATCGTCGGGTCCCAGCTACTTCCTTTAAAACAAATGGCTGCTCCCGTGTACTACCCTCCTTATATGTTGGAGGACTCGCGCTCCAGCCTGATTCTTGAGGCAAAAGTGTCCATCATTTGCTAATTCCGGCGTTATCAGTCAACAACTTTCATGCAGGCTATGTACATCCCTACAGTTGGAGTGCATGGCAGAAGTCCTCTTCGTGGACAGCAGGAATTGTTGATACATGAGGCTGGAGTCTGGAATCCTTGTATCAATTTCTCGAAGGCCCTAACGGGAACGAAGTGCAGTATCTCCAGAAGGCACATCTCCTGTCTAAGCGCCTATCGCTGATTAGTTGGGGGCCAAAAGACTTGTTGTGGACTAGCATAATGGACTAAGCCTGAGGCTGAAGTCCTCCAATACTCACACGGTAGGGCTGAGCCTTATTTTCCTACCTGTGGGAGAGGTTCGTCGAATAATGCTCGATCAAGACTTGTCTTACTTTGTGTCTCTCGGCATTATTGTTGACTATTAGGCATTCTTTTGCTTATCGACATTCGCCTAAACCGGTAAATGGAGGACACACGATGTGAATGGCACCACGAAGCTGATGAAATGTGTCTTGTACACGACACATCACAACACAAGCCGAGCTAGGGACGAAAAACTGGCTTTTCTGGCTTTTCTGGTTCGATGAGGTTGATGTGGAGAGACTCGCCAATTCAAGCCCCAAATTGCGAGATGTGAGACAAATCAGCTGCATGACATGGTTCGCAGAAATGCGAACCGCATGTACTAGATCTTGAGATTATTGACATCTGTCATGCCAATTGTTGTACACTTTCCTGATTCGATCGGCGAGTTTTCATGGTTTTCGACGACAGGGAGGCGTTTGACCGATTTTAGCTCACCGCGCACACACGCATGCTAGTCAAGTGCTTGCTATGTTGTCAGCTCCTCGGCATATGATGACATCATGAGGTTTGCAGACAAGATTCGTCCTGAGTGATGATGCTGACGATAGGTGCTTTCGGGATGGATGTTGTCGGCTCCAAATGTGTCAGCGGGACATGCTTACCTCCACTCCAGTCAACGAATGCCCAGAATCCGGGAACCCGGATGATACCGGTAGTGGCTTAAGCTCAGCGCCATGATTATGCGTGAGGGACGCGTAGAGTCGTACATCAACAATACAACACCACATATCCTTTCACGGACACCACAGAGTCAGTGGCGTACCTGTTCGTTACCAGTCAGTCACATGGTCAAGTGCTTCAGCTCGCTGATCCATGGATCACGAACTGCGTACCGTATTTGAGCAATTGCCTCACTCGGAAGGTGCATGCATGCTACGTGGATGTGCACCCGAGCGGAGTTCTGCAGTCATGGTCAGCATATTGACGCCTTGCACAAAGTGTCCGAAGGCTCCTATCCTACTTACGCGGCCTCTTCAGAGGATCATCAGACTCCAGGTAGTCGTTGAAGTGCTGAATGACAGTGTCATACCTTATTCACTGCAGTCGCCCAGGTCTTTTCAGCAAATTCTCACTAGAAAGTTTAGACATGTGATCAGTGACATTGCTCAAAGGCAGCAGCTAGAGTACGAGTTTTGTCTTCTATACCGACTTTACAAATAGTCAAGTCCATCACAATTACTGCATTTCCTACACTATCTCACCGTCTCAGCTAAGATGCGGCGATGTTTAATTGATCCACGGGAGCAACCTCAAAGGAGGAAACACCAACAAAGTATAGAAGATTACGACGTAACTCGCGAACACTTCGGCAGATTGCATATCAGCAATGCTGAATCGTCAAGTTATCCGATTCCAACTTCGATCTCGCATCGCATCTTGAAGATGGCATTGAAGTGGAGCCGACAGTTAAATCCCCGCAGCCCGTTTGACCGACCGCTGCCGTGATCGACAGGGCCCGGCTCTGGCCGAGAGTCCGTGTGCTGACAAAGTTTCGGACCTTGCATGAGCGCGGCACGTTGTCTGTCGGGACGTTGTCTGGAAGATGAAGGGCAAAGCAGATATCCTCGTATATAACTGTCCTCTGTCGGTATACATGGCCGATGACAGTACAGTATGAGACTCGAGGCCCGTAGCGTCAAAGTCGGAGATTCTTCGCAGCCGACTCTCCGATCAGATACGCGGCTGATGGCAAATCGCAACGTCATGACCAATCCGTTCCAGCGAACCACGATAGCCTTCCCTGGCCCAGCCACCAAGAGACGTAACTTGCCAGGTCACTGACAAGTGCTACGCTACGGATGAGGGCTCTACCTACTCCAGCACCATTTCCATCTCCTCTTGCCTTTGAATATTGTTACTGCCCTCACGGCTTATCGTGAGGCTCTTCATACTTGGTAAGCTGACGAGGCGCGCTGCATCGGAAGTCGGGACTGTGGCAACGCAATGGTCGTGGACATTCATCACTACGAGTCCATCTCCTCCAAACCCGCGCACGACTCGATGACCAAAGGCCTGACCTTTTGAATAGTCAAACTAGCAATGCGTATGCGATCGTAACTCATACTCATCCTTGAGGCCCTATTTGGGAATCCAACCAAGAAATAAAACTTCGCCACTGCTCTCCATCCCAACTATTCACAATGGTCTCCAGTACCGACGCTGCCTTCGTCGAGGACATCGATGTAGACCAGCAACTGCGAGCCCGCGCCAACAAGTCGAGCGTGCCTCTATATGCACCGACTAAACAAGGGGCTCATTCGCCAAAAGCTGATAGCGACGACGAAAACGCGCCACTGCTGAGCCCTACAAGGAACAACCATGGAAATGCGAATGGCGATGGCGATGATATTGAAGGAGACGAGTGGGATGGAGATGGAGAATTTCGTGGACTGCCTTGGTGGAAGCGACCTTCGGTACGCACAACAGGCATTACATGAGAAAGGCGAGGGCTGAAGAGCTGACATGGATAGATTTACTGGTTACTGCCACCCTTTCTGCTGTTCACGACTGCATTTGGTGGTGTCATAGTACCCAAGATCAATCTCATCATGGATCTGGTCTGCGATGAGTACTACGATTCACTGGGAACCGATCCTATTTCTGGTCCGATGGACCCGGGAATGGATCGCTGTCAGAATGATGCCGTCTCATCCCGCTCTTCCCTGTTCCTGCTATACGCTGGCCTCTGCTCGGGAATCTTGTCTGCTGTCATCAGCCCAAAGCTCGGCTCCCTGTCCGATCGATATGGACGAAAGAGGTTCATGATCTTCAACACTTGCGGCGCTCTGTTCGGCGAAGTACTAACCATTCTGGCTGCCAAGTTCCCCGAAACAGTGCACGTCAACTGGATTCTTGTAGGTTACTGTCTAGAAGGGGTCTCTGGTTCCTTTATTGTCGGCATGGCTCTTGCACATTCCTATGCGTCCGACTGTGTTCCACCCCAAAGACGTAACGTTGCATTTTCGTACTTTCATGCCTGCTTGTTCACGGGAGTCGCCATCGGTCCTGTGCTAGCTGGCTACATCATCGAAGCTCGCAAACAGTACGTCGGCAAGACTGACGCTGTGCTCCTCATTTTCTACATTGCCCTGGCGGCTCATCTCTTCTTCATCTTCTTCCTCACGTTTGTGGTGCCTGAATCACTCAGCAAGTCTCGTCAGGAAGCGGCACGTGAGAAACACGAGGAGGCGATGCAGAGACTTGGTCCTGCGTCTGACTGGATCAATCAATTGCGATCGATCAACCTCTTTGCGCCCCTCAAGATCCTTTGGCCAACAGGCCCAGGCACCACGTCTGCTGTACGGTGGAACCTCTTATTGCTTGCTGCTACAGACACCATCATGTTTGGAGTAGCCATGGGGGCAATGAGCGTCATTCTTGTGTACACTCGCCGGCAATTTGGCTGGCAAGAATTCGAATCGGGTCGCTTTGTCACCATTGTGAATACGTGTCGCGTCTTTTGCCTTCTCGTCGTCCTCCCGGCCATTACACGCCTGGTGCGCGGGAAGAATGGCGCATCACGCATACGAAAGTCTGGATCCGATCTGCTCGACCTATCCATCATTCGTGCCGCCATTTTATTTGACATGCTTGGCTACCTCGGCTACACGCTTGCCCGTAGAGGGGAATTGTTTGCTCTATCCGGAGCACTGGCATCGATTGGCGGCATCGGCTCACCAACGCTGGGTGCGGCTTTGACAAAGCATGTGCCACAGGATAAAGTTGGCCAGCTATTAGGTGCAACAGGCTTGTTGCATGCCCTGGCCAGAGTGCTTGGTCCGACCATCTTCAACGGCATCTACAGCGCAACTGTAGGCACATACAGACAGACTGTATTCGTCTGCTTGACAGTGACCTTTGGTGCAGCCTTTGTGTGCAGTTGGTTCGTGAGGCCTCATGGTGAGTCTGGCGTCAAGTCTTGTGTAAGTGAAATCGCTAATGAGATTATAGTGTATTTCGATGAGCCCGACAAGCATAGAGCAGACGAGCAAGATGCATAGTCTGCCTCTGCCACCGGCTCTGTGCTTGCACTTTTCTCGACCCTTAGATATTTTGGACACGGCGTCCCTTTTCCCTTTTCGTAGTTGTAGCGATGGCGTTTGGAATCAGTCATGGTTTTTTTTTCGCGTTTACATGTACACCTGCCGCGATAGATGTAGTGGCGTAGCGGTCCTCAAAGGCTTTGATCACAGCTTGTAGAAGAGTATTTGTTATACAGGGGTTGAAATACCTCAATTGTGATCGCTCTTTAATCGGCATATATTTGTCGCCTGTCAATGAATTCGTATTACTGTAACGATGTAGAGTGCGTGCTGTCGAGCACAGCCTAGAGGTGGAACTCTTTCAAGTGATAGGCATGCATCAATAGAGAGGTATGTTGGAGGCAAGTTGTGCGCGCTGAGGTGTGTAGCTCGGGCGCACAACTAGTGATTCACTTTTGCAGATGTGGGTGTTTATTCGGGATCACATTATGCTTTTAGCAAACTGGCAATTATATTACATACCCAGCACCAACGCTGATATTTCTTCGGCGCCGTACCATAGGGTGGGTATATGCAAGTTTAGCTAATCCGTCGCTTTACCTCGCTCCGCCTCTCCACCTGGACAATAGTCGGGATGCGAGCTATGGATCTTCCAAGGCTTGGGGAAGGTAGTAGATGATGCACGGCGACCTGGTTTACCAAACTTAATCTATTGGGATTAGTAGAGTAGAGTACCTCTGGTCCTTTAAGCATGTTTAGTGCGTCTTGTCATACCGTGCCGTACTATATCCAAACATTGAATTCGTCGCCACCACTCCCATGTTCCTACCCCGCCCAACCAAACGTTTCCCCGCTTAACCGCATCATGGATCCCAGGCTTACGCTGCCCAATCTGCAGCATTTTGTGGAACGGTTTCTCCTACATTATGACCCGTAAATTTAGCGGAATTTTTAAACAACAGGCACTTTGGCGGAGTGGTTAACGCGGTATGTTTGCATTGCTTGTTGAGATTGTGAGGTGCGGTTGCTAACGGGAATAGCTGGCCTGCTAGTCCTTCTGTTGAGGGGAAGTTAGCCAGTTCCTTCGGGAGCGTGTGTTCGAATCACACAGGTGTCGCATTGACCTTTTATTTTTTGGGATTTTTTGGTGCAGTGTTTGCGGTTTGTTGGAGTGGTATTTGGTGTGTGGGGTGGGGGGTTTTGTTTTAGGTGGGATGGTTGTGTGTCTGGTGTCAGTTGTTAGACTGTGAGGTGGATAGAAGGCTAATACCAACCTGACTTCTTAGGACTACAAATTGTTATGACTTACATAACTTAGTACGCCTTGGTATAATTACACATGCAGTAGCTGTTTGTGTTGTTAATTCCTCACACGTCTAGCTATGCTTCAAGTGTTTTTTGCTCTTACCTGTAAAAAACTTTGTTTCACGTTGATGTAGGGGGCTTTTCTGTGGTAGTTCACAATGTAACTAGAAATATGTCTATGCTGGATAAGAATATAACTTCTTAACAACAATGATCGTCTTGCATAGACACCTTAAGTGGCGCCATTAACTAAATTCTGATTATGCTGTTTGGTCTGTAAAGACTTGAAGCACTTATGGCACGCTGTATCTGTTACCGGCATGCTAGATTTGGCAGAAAGGCGTACGAATGTAGATAGTACCAGCATATACTATATCTAATATACTGTTCGTCAATTCAATGAACAACGGCTCATCTACTCGTGCGTGCTTCTTGACATTCACTCGATAAATATTCCCATAGTTCCCGCCTGCACATGCTTTGTCCATTCATTCCCAGATTGCGCTCCTGTTAGATTCCTATCGGGAATTACAGGCATGGCACTGAATTCATATGATAGAGTAGGTTGAACGCAAAAAGATCCTCCAGGATACTTTTGTGCGAGGTGTAGTAGTCTTAGATCCCAGAGCACCATGGATTTCCATCAGTGAAGACGACAAAGGCTCGTGAAAGGCAAAAGCCCCATCCATTGTTCCTGACATGCAGAACAAAGAGCAATGTGAAGAGAGGGAAAGGTCAAAATGGTGAGCCTTTGTCGGTCTGTTTGGAGGGTTCGAGAGGGCAACCTTCCCCACTCTAACTTCACTTCACCGCAGAAAGTCAGTTCCTCCTGTAACATATTTTCGAGCCTGCCTCACCCTCTTCCTTGTTCTCTCTTCACCCAAATTTAAGTTGTATCAACGTTAAACCTCAAATCGTATCCGTTTATCCGTGATCATCTCTAAACCTCCATTTCAATCTCGCACTGCCTTAAGCCTTGTATTGCATTACGAAACAATATCGCCATGACGAAGCGCAAGACCGCACCTGCAGACTCCACTTCTGTGCCTAGGAAAAGAAAATATGCAAAGGCTGGCGCAAACACTGACACGCTCCCAGAAGCTGCGAGTACTGTCACCACTGAATCGTCCACAACTGCTCCCGTTGAAACCAGCACGCTGTCTGCCATGAATACTCCAGCGACTCCAGCGACTCCAATCAATGATGAGGATGTTTTTGAACTTGACTTTGGTGCTGAGGATGAAGAGACCAATGCAGCTTCCGTTGTCGTTGACGATGACAAGCTCGAGAAGGATCAGACGTCCTCTTCCAACCTCAAACAAGAAGGTGCTTCCAAACTCGTTGTGCAAAAAAATGCCACAAGTAAGGCTGTTGCTACATCTGAATCCAACCCTGCATTCACCGCAAACATTGAAGATGTGAACAATGGGATTCAGGAAGACGCCGAGGCTTCATCCGCCACTGTAGATAGGATTGAAAGCCCCTCGAACGGCAAATGGAAAACTGAAATTGCTCAGCAGGCGCTCGTCAGCGGCATTCAAGCCCAGTTTGCCTACACTCCGGCGCTGATGTCCATGGCAGGCGCAAACGCGGTTGGCGACACCATCGATCTAGGCTTCACCGTCAATGGTCTGAAGTTGGAGGTTTCCTTTAAGATTGTCGGGTTAGAGGAGCCAACACAACGAGATGAGCAGGCTGTTTCTAAAGATGTCAATCGCGACACTGCTCCCGAGACCATATTAAACTCTCCGTCAATTGAGACTACAGAGGAACCTAGTGACGTCAGCATCGACACCGAACAGGCCGAAAACGCCCTTCAGATTGCTCGTCCACTTTCCGCGAGCAAGTTGCCCGTTGACTCTCGCTCTAACATTCCCTGCCGATTCGGTGAAACTTGCACCAAGGGCGCTGGCTGCCCGTTTGACCACACTGTTATGAAGAAGAAGAAGCTTTGTACCTGGGTCAACACCACCAAGGGCTGCAGCAATGGTGCAAACTGTCACTTCTCCCATGAATATGCGGGCAAGATGTGCACAAAGTCGACCTCACGCATGACTTGCGAGAATGGCGCAACTTGCGCATTCATGCACAGGGACGATGGTACCCAGACCTTGAAGAAGGGCACACAACCTCCAAATAACAGTATGGCACCACCGCTCTCTTACCATGATGGTGACAGGACGGGAAGTCTTGCTTTATCAACGTCTGCTTCCATCGCATCGCTGCTTCCACCTGGTCTCATCCCTAGCTCATCTAACAACAACCAGGCTCACGACGCAACTTCTGGATCTAATCCCTCTCACAGCACTCCCATGTACACGCAAACCGGCCCCCAGAACCTTGGCAATGTTGCAGGTCTGAAGCGCAGCGCTGAGGGCGAGGAAATTGGCCATGAGACATCTCGCCGTCGCACGTACAACAACCATCCGAGCCAGCAACAGACTGGGTATACTCGTATTGGCTCTCAGAACGCGCGCGGCGGTCGAGGATTCGCACAAACTCGGGGAAAACAGGGACAGCGTGGTAAGAACAATGGCGGTGGTGATAACAAGCACAACCTTTTGGAGATGACATTGTGAAGAAGGAGAGAGACAATGATGCAGAGAGACAATAATGCAGAGAGACAATGATGCAGAGAGACAATGATGCAGAGAGACAATGATGCAGAGAGACAATGATGCAGAGAGACAATAATGTAGAGAGAACAGTATTATTTCTACGCTAGAGCAATGAAAAATAGGGAAACGCATAGATTAATGGACCAAAAATGAGAAAAATTGAGGTGAAGAAGAAAGGTCGACTCTGAAATCTGTGCATCTCGTTAGCGTGTCGTCCTTGAAACTAAGAGATTTTTCTACCCTCTCTGTAATCATGCTTTCTTTGACAATAACTATATTGCTACAGTTGACGGTGACTTTGGCAAATCGACTAAAACTAAACAAAGGAAAAAGGTTAGTAAAGGAAGCTTGGTACCTAGCTTGGTGGGAGAACATGACGTACGAAGGTTTTCTGCCTACCGGGAACAGCTCACCCACTCCCCAAACCAACCCCCCATCCACCATCAAAAAGAAAAAATAAAAATAGAAACCACCATAAAAAATCAACAAAACAATCTCAACCACTGTTTTTCGCCTCCGTCCAACCACTCTTCTAGTCTCCAAGAAAAAAAATTCGCAGTCCAGTCGTCCCTAGCCTCGGCCCAAGCAACCCCAAACGACTCCATCCCGGCACCATAAACTTCCACCTAGATCCTGCACAAAACATTAATTTTCTCTTTTTCATGTGACACAAACACCTACACTGATACCATACAAAACAGCACCTCTACCCCCCAGCCCCACCAACCACAAAAGACAAGAGTCACATAAGTGCTGTACCTACATGTCACCCTAACCCACCAGCCATGTCCCACACGACCAACAACCCTCCCTCTCCTCCCCAATCCACTGCCCACATGACCCGGTACACGCCACGCACCCTATACCTCACGGCATTCAACACGCTGTTCTCTGCGCTCTGGGCAAGCGTGTTTGTGCATGTGGTAGTGTTGATATGGAGGGGAGAGGAACGGGGGCGGATTTTCGAGCAGACGGAGTTTGGGGTAAGGTGGTTGCAGAGTGTGACAGTGGTTGAGATTTTGCATTCATGGATTGGTAAGTTGATGGGAGAGTTTTGTTTGTTTGGGGTTGGTTTTTGTCATGGAGAAGGATTCAGAGAGTACCGTAGGGTACAACGGCAAGAGCAAGAGCAAGAGCAAGAGCAAGAGCAAGAGCAAGAGCAAGAGCAAGAGCAAGAGCAAGAGCAAGAAAGAGAGCGCATCACACAACTCCCTTTTCCCACACAACCCAATCCTCCCTCCCTCCCTTCATCCACTCTCCCCCCCTCCAAACCCTCACCCCCTCACACACACTAACCTAACCCCCATCCAGGCCTCATAAAATCCCCCCTCCCAACAACAGCCCTCCAAGTCGGCACCCGCATCATCCAAGTCTGGCTCATCTGGCACACCTTCCCTCTCAGCACCGCCGCTTCCCTAGCCTACCCGGCGCTGCTGCTGGCCTGGTCGGTTGCAGATGGGATTCGGTATGCGTATCTGGCTTTGAACATGCATGGGATGGCGCCAGGGTGGTTGGTTTGGATTCGGTAGGTTGGGATTTTCTTGATGTTATCGAGGTTATTGCGTTGAGTTTGGGGGAGTTGCTCGAGGGAGGGGGATGGCGTGCGTGTTGTATCAAGGGTGTAAGAAGGGCTAACATGGCTCAGGTACACAATGTTTTATATTCTTTACCCCATTGGCATTGCAGCAGAATGGTGGTTGTTCTACATGGCGGTGGAGCCGGGGCGGAAGATTAATGGGCTGATTCCGCCCGTGTTTTATTTCTTGTTGGCGCTTTATGGACCTGGTGAGTTCTTGTTTTTGGGTGGCGGCGGTGTGATATGTGCATGTGTGTTTGCGTGGTGGGACTGACTGTGGATTAGGGTCGTACAAGATGTATACGTATATGATTAAGCAGAGGAGGAAGACGCTGGGGGGAAAGCAGCGGAGGTCTTGAGAAGGTTGGTTGGGGGATGTGGGAGATTTGACACGATCCGATGCATGCGCCTTTAGGCGTTGATATATATAAATGTATAGATGTAGACGTGACTATTGCATCGGTATTGCAAGTGCATTGCATTAATCCGGACTTACCAAGTGTTTTTCCTCTTCCCAAAAAATGATACACATAGGAATATATTTAAATTGCAAGCCCTTCAGAGACATACGAGACATGAAAACTTTAGATATAAGAAACCTTGACACCCATGCCCACGGTCCGTTTCACTTTATCCATTGCATTCCTCACCACACGCAAGATGCGCTCTCGCAAATCTCGCCGTCCAAAGGCCAGGGCAAAGGCTATGAGGAAGAGCAGGGTTCGGAAAAAGGCCATTGGATTGGCCGTCATGTTGTGCGCTGTATTTGATATGAGTGCCTGGAGGGAGGAGAACATGGTCGTGGCGCGGTTGTAGAAGCCAGGAGGGGGTGTGATTGGGCGTTTAGCGGGCTGGCGCGAGGTACGAGAAGGGTGCGGTTGGGGTTGGGGTAGGGGCTTGCGGAGCCGGTCATCTGAGCTTCGAGGCTGTCTTGGGGTTTCCTCTTGGCGCTTGCGACGTTCGTCTTCGGCGCGGGATTGTTCCAGACGTCTTCTTTCCGTTTCCCGGCGGCGCTCTTCCATTTGCTCTTGCTGTTGCTGGCGGAGCTTTTCCTCGCGCGCTTCGGCATCTTCCTTTTCCTCCTTGAGCGAGTGCAGGGCGAGCATGAAGGCTTCCTTGCGCTCGTCGTCCAGGACTTCGGACATGCTGATGAACTCACGGGCGTAGTCCCATTCGTCGTTTCTTGGCAGGACATGGAGGGTGTAGAGTTCGAGCAGCTTGATGCGCTTTTCCAGATCGCGGGGCGTGTCGGTGCCATTCTGCTGACCGCGCTGGCTGGGGCGACGCTGCAGGTACGAGGGCGACGACATGTGCTGGGAAATGTCAAACGTCGGGTTGGCCGTGGCGGAGAGGTATGTCTCGAGCTTTTGTTGGTTGAGCGTTTGCGAGGGCGAGTGGGTGAGCAGCAGGGTTGCACTAGACGTTGGCAATCAGCACATGGATATATCTTGAGCCCATCTTCTTCTCCCACCAGGACTCACAGATTGATGACTACATCCGTGTCGACGCTGCCCTCGACACCCGCATAGCCATCCTTGACCACCTCGTCCCACACACTGCCATCGCGACATTTCGAGACCAATTGCTTCCACCTCGTACTCCCAAAAGCGTGCTTGCCCTCTTCTGCGCCCAGCTCGATGACGGCGTTGAGAAAGGTGAGGTAGAAGCTCCAGACCTTGATTCGGGTGCCTCGGGACGCGTTGGCGATGGGTGCATAGCCAATCATGGCCTCATCATCGTGAGGAGAGGGCGGCGGCGGCGGAGTGATGATGGGCTCAATCGTAGACAGGGCCTCTGGCAGGCGGCGCGTGAGGAACAACTGGGCGGCCTGGCGGTATGCTTTGGCAATCTGCGACGACTGTTGCCGGGAGGCTGATAGGGACGAGAGCGACGAGGAAAGGTAGCGCGAGCCGTTGATGTCTTCGTACGGCGCGGCCATGGCGACTGAGGCGGGTGAAGGATCAATTTGCACGTGAGGGAGGGCAAGGGGGACTGGCTTCTTCCTCCTCCTCCTCCTTCTTCTTCTACTGTTTCCTTGTTTCCCCCGTAGTGGCTGCTTGCTTTGCACCGTTTGGTGTGTGGGTGCAGGCAGGAGAAGGGTGTGAGGTGACGCTCGGCCTTGGCCTCTACCGGCACCGTTAGTTGCATTCCTCTCTCCCGCCCGTGTCAACAGTCGAACCTCGGCTGTGCTGTTGCAGCGAACAAACAAACACAGAGAAACAAATGGTCCCGAGCACTACCAACAAGGCGGGGGCCAGCTGCTCTATACTCCATGCAGTATATGCCTAGGTACCATCTGTCTACTACCCAGTCAATTGCCCTGGGCGCACCAACCCCATCCCCAGTCGACAACAAGCCCCAATCTCCGAATCACGACACTTGGGCTCAAGACGCGTCCAGCACGACACGCGAGACAGCAACGAGGGTTGACTGTTTGACAAACGCGTTGTCTACAGACTGGCGACTGGCGACTGGCGACAAGCCTTTGAGTCGCGAGCGAGACAAGCCATCTCCTGTACCTAGACAGCCGCTCGCTTGATCACACAGACATTGACTGACACACTCTCCTCACGATCAACTACTCACCACAGCTTTTTCTATTGCCATCGCACCAAATACTGAAAACTGAACAGCGAGTTTGACTCTACCCTGTATCCTCTTGTCTGCACCTCGGATGATTCTGCTCAATCAAATCAAGCCATCTCCTGCATCCAACCAGGCAGGGCTTTACTACCTGCCGGTACTGGTACGGTACTCGTACCGGTACCTGGACAGCTCAGCCAATCGAGGGCTTTGACGTTGTGGGCCAAGAAGACTTCACCACCACCACCACCACCACCGCCACAACAACAACAACAACAACAACAGCATGGAAGTCGACGCCGAATCATTCCCTCACCACCTTACTGGCCTCTTCATCCACATATCAGAGGCCGACTTTGTCGCCTTTGACTTGGAGTTGTCTGGCATTCCCTCACGGCTGCCAGACAAACCAGCACGTGGCCGAGGTCGCTATACGCTCGAAGAACGCTATGCTGAGACTAAGCACGGCGCTGATCGTTATCAAATTCTACAGGTAGGCCTTACATGTGCTCGGTTCGACTACATTGCCAACAAGTACGTCCTCCGACCCTACAACATCAACATCTGTCCATTGCTCGACGAGCGTCTGGATTTTGAGCGAGAGATACGTTTCCAAAGTGGAGCCTGCAGCTTTCTCCTTAGCCATGGCTTCAATCTGGGCGCTCCCTTTGCCAGTGGCGTGCAGTACTTGTCACGGCAAGAAGCGGCGCGGGCCAGGCAAATGGCATGGGACCGGATCGAGAAGAAGAATCCAGTCGAGGACATGCAATTGAAAGAAGAGCATGTAGATTCGCTCGACTTTGTGCGCCGTGTACGAGAAGCAATCACCCAATGGAAAACCACAAACTCGGACTGTTTGGAGGTCACCACTCACACAGGTCTTCCCAAAGCACCTCATGTTCAAGCCATTTCGCGGTTCGAGAAGCGCCTTGTGCACCAGCTGGTTCGCGCCGAGTTCCCAGACCAAGTATCGATAGGTCGACATGACTGCATCCGCATCATTGATCACGATGTTGAGCGAGAGGCTGACAATGTCCGGAGAATGAAGAGTCGCGTCAAGGAGCAGATTATCCGCCAGACCGGCTTTCGTTGGATATTCGAGGCTCTCGTAAAGGGCGGTGACATTGATCGAGCTGAGCCATTATACCTGTCGCGCACGTCATCACTGACAGCTGACGTATCCGGTCTCAAGGATCGCTATGATCGTGCAGTCGAGCGTCTCAAGACTCGCCAACCAGTCCTTGTGGGACATAACATGTTTACTGACATTGTATACTTGTACCGCACCTTTGTGGGTGAGTTGCCCGATACCCTCCAAGGATTCCGAGAAGTCATCCATGAACTGTTCCCCAAAATTGTCGACACCAAGTATCTGGCCACCTACACCGAGGGTGACCTGAACGCATCTCCCACGCTGCAAGAAATTGCACAGGGCTTGAGCCACCAGTATCTACCTGAGATTGTCACGCACCCCGACCACTCCAAGTACGAAGGCGCAGAAGCCTTTCACGAGGCAGGATACGACAGTCTCCTTACAGCCACCATCATGATCAGACTCGCTGCCAGACTAGGCGCAGAACAGACCGCTGAAGTAGACCCCATCTATCCACCAGAACCCGTCCCAAAAAGCAACCCCACATCAACACCCTTGCAAGACTTCCTCCACAATAACCAAGAAGAGCCCCAAACCCCTATCACCTCACCCCAATCCTCAACCCAAACCCAACCCCCCTCCGCCTCCCGTCGCCGCAAACCCAAACGAAATTCCAAAAAAGCAAAACTCGAAGCTAAACCACGCTTCCACACCACCAACATCTTCGACAACCTCCGCACCCTAAGCCTCGATCCCAGCTCCCCCACCACCCCTTCGTCCGTCTCCGCCGACGAGCAAGATCCCACCTCCACTTTCAGCTACAACGACGCCCCGGCCAACGCAAACGCAAACGCAAATGCGCAATGGGATCACGTGCATGAGGGCCCGGCAGCAGGCTCCTGGGTAGATGAGAAGTTTGTCCAGGATCAAACGGGCTGGGTGGCGATTGAGCGGCTCCAGAGGCGGCCGATGGAGTTGATGCCGTCGTTTGAGCAGGCGCGGTTTTGGTGTGGGCTGGGGAATCGGGTGAGGGTTTTTGGGACGGTGGAGGGTATGTTGGAGGTTGCGGGGTGGGAGGGGGTGTGAGAGGGGGGAGTTGGTTAGTTAGTTGGTTGGTTAGTTGGCTGGGATTGGGGCGGGGGGGTTTGTATCTGTACAAGAGGTGATAAGGTGGTGGGGTCGTGTCAAAGGTATTGAGAACACAGAGGTGCTGAATTGGCAATGTATAGATTATGAGAATACAATACCAAACCAGAAGTATAGTATCCCACACATACATCATCTACCCAACCCCTTTCCTACACCTGAAACGCAACCCCCTCCTTCCTAACCACCGCCGCCCCCGCACTCGCAAACCCCGTCCCCTCACTCCTAATCTCCACCAAGCCCAACCCACGCCCCCTACTTTCCTTGCCCTTGCCCTTGCCCTCCCCTTCCTTTTCCCTCCCCCTATCCTTCTTCGCCTTACCCAGCCCGACCCCACCCAACTCCGCATCACAAACATAACAGTGCAAAACGTGGGAAACCTCCTCGGCCAGCTGGGCATGCGCGTCGCGCTGGTGTCTGTGCTGTGGGTTTAGAAACTTGGCGACGCAGGGGTTGCAAAGGACGTGGCCGCAGGGTATGGCTAGTGATGCTTTTGTGCTGTTTGAGAGGGGTTTCTGGCAACTTGGGCAAGTGGGCATGTTTGGGGTTTTGGGTGGTGCTGCTGCTGTTGCTGCCGAGGCAGAGGTGTCACGCTCGAGGTGGAAATGTACGGGGATAAGGGTTTTCAAGGATAGCGAATGTGAGGTTTGCGGGGAGCTTGCGGGACAAGTTGGGGAGAGTTTTTGAGGGGCGGGGGAGTGGTGGTGCTGTGTTGGTGTTTGGGTTGGGATCCAGAAGCTAGGGAGATTGGGCTTGGAGGCGGAGCGTTGGTGGGCGAGGGTGCGTTTTGCGGTTGTGAGGTCTGAGGTGGCGATGCGGGATAGTTCTTCTTCGTCGAGGGCGAATTTGCGCTTTGTGCCTTTTGGGGGTGGGGAGGTGGGGTTGGTTGGGTCGGTATGGTGTTGGTCTTGCTGGGAGATGCTGTTCTCATCCCGTCTGTCCTTGCTCGTGCCTCTGGCTGCTGCCGCCGGCATGACTGAGAGTCCCATTTGCACGGCTTCAAAGTCCTCGACGGCGCGTACTCTTGCTTCCTCCTCTTCGCGGGCCTTTTGGTCCGCGTCCTCGTGCTTGAGACGCTCGGCGAGTTTTTCCAGGCGTTTGATTTCCTTGCGTTGGGCGAGCAGGTTCGTCATTGCGCATTCGCGGCAGAAGAGGTCGCCTTGGGGACAGCAGACGGGGTCTACGGAGGGGAGGAGACAGAGTTGGCAGGATCCAAAGGGGAGAAAGGAGTCACGGGTTAGGCGGGTGGTTTGGGAGCCCCATCGGTCTTTTAGCGCGTTCCTCTCATGGGAAGTGAAGACCGATTTGGGTGGTGGCATGGTGGTGGTGGTGGTGTTGGCGGTAGTAGGCGGTGTTGCGCCTGATATCCCAGTGTCGTGAGTGAACACAAGATGAAGATTATTCTAGATGAAAAAGCGGTGTATAGCTTTCAAGGATCTCGATTGGTATGTCTGATCAAGCTTTTGAGCTGGTATAGGATGGCGACGTTATAGACCGGTCTGGCTGGCGCTCGCGATGTACTAGGTAGGATCACGATACCTAGAAAGTCGCTGGAAAGCTCGTCGTTGTCAAGCACGTCTTAGGCGGTAGCGGCACCTGCACTCGACTATGATCAGGGAAACAACACTTACACGGTGGACAGTATGTAGATTTTCTAGTCGTAGCAATGGCAATCGTCTTGCGCATGTCGAGAACTGCATGCCGAAGCCACGTGCAGAGCCAAGCCGCTAAAAATACATCCCTGTCGTGAATTTCCGGTCTTTGGGTGGTGACGTTTTGCCGCGGCCTCCAGCCACTGTACGAGAAAACTCTCATGTCTTTCTCACACCTTGATACGACCCAATGCGACCAGAGGAGCAGCCTGAAGCTCCGAGTGGGCCATGGCGCGCCGCCTCGACCTTTACCATGGCTGCAGTCAGTTTGCTGTGCAAGGGGTTCTTGAGCGGCTTCAATACGGTGGAGACGCATGGGATGGATGAGTTCCTGCGACTGCTGGATGAAAGGCAAGACGTAGCGGGGAGGTCGAGAGGACTGCTTACTGGTATGCGATTGTGGTGATGGAGATTTAGCGTGAATGGTTCTGATCATGCCGTAGTTTCCAATCACATCTCTGTGTACGTACAGTTGGGGTTGCCGTGGACGAGGTCTCCCCATGGGCAAGAAATATACTCACGATGCTACCAGGATGGACGATCCCATACTTTGGGGCATACTTCCGCTCAGCTACATGTTCAACCCAGACAACCATCGATGGGGCTTGGGCAGTTACGACCTGTGCTTTACGAATAAGTACGGCGACTCTATCTCGGTTGTACATGACACTGGCTAACAACATCTCAGAGCACTCTCCACTTTCTTTACTCTCGGACAGGTCCTTCCCACCCATCGATCGGCACACTCGCAATTCGGCGGTCTCTTCCAACCCACCATAACAGAGGCGATCCGCCTGTTATCTCGCGGCCCCTTCATTCGTCCACACAGCGCCTCCGAGGACCCGTCGAGGTCACTTAAAAGCCCCGACCTCGCAGACCCCTTCAGCAACGGACACCTCACGTTCAGTACAAACGGCCAGGATTCTTTTCCCTCGCCCTCTGCCTACTTGAGCCGGCGACATGCGTGGGTACACATTTTCCCAGAAGGCATGATACATCAGTCGGAACACAGAATTATGCGCTACTTCAAATGGGGCGTCTCGAGGTTGATACTCGAGAGCGACCCACTGCCCGACATTGTGCCTATATTTATCGAGGGTTTTGACGAGATCATGCATGAAACGCGAACCTTTCCCCGGTTCATTCCCCGGCCATTCAAGAACGTCAGAGTGACATTTGGCGAGAAACTGAATGCAGAGGAGGTGTTTGGAGACCTTCGTCGGCGGTGGCAGCAGATGCGGGCCAAAGAAGAGGAGAAGGGTGCGGTTCTGCCAGTGGGCGTGCTCAACGACTCGCTAAAATACTCGGAGGAGGCCGTCAGTTTACGCAAGGAATGTACGCGGAGGATGCGGCAGGCGGTACTGGACGTGAGGCGACAGCGCGGATATCCTGAAGACGACCCCAAGAACAGCCTGGCCGAGACATGGCTGCGGGAAGGAAAGACGAGAGAAGGGCGCAAAGAGGATGGCAGTATCACGAAAGAGACATGAGTGGACAGAAGATGTATATATATTGATCACCACCTTGTGTAGCACGGCGGGCCATGGCCACGTAGACGATGACCAGGGGCCCAAAAATAAACCACATTCCCACTCCACAGCATGTTGACATTGAGGAAAGAAAGGCCGTCGCCAGCACCATGGAGTAAAGATACAAATCGGAGACGGAAATGAACGACCTGAACAAAACCAAAGAGCGCGCGCACCGTGTCAGATTAGATCAAGTTTACACCATCAGCGACCGCCTGTATCCCGTCACGCCGATCAACCACACAGCGCAGCGCAAAGAAAGGCGTGGGAGCGGGTTTCGTCGTTTGCGAAACGGGGAAGCAGGGGCTGGCACGGATTGTGAGTCCGTGGCAAGCAAAAAAGTCTCTGGCGTGCTCGTGTCGTCATCCACGTTGCGTCTTTTGTCGCGCATTCACCCGCCCGCCTTCACTGTCCTCCACCACCACCTCTTGTTTCCAGCCATGGCGGCAGCGGAAAAGGATGTGGATGAAGTGGGGTTGAAGGGGGTTGGAAATGGTGAGGATGGTGTGCGATGGGAATCGAAGGGTCGAAGGGTGTTGTTGGGGGAGGCGAGGGCGAGGGCGAGGGCGAGGGCGAGGGCGAGGGCGAGGGCGAGGAACGCAAATCTTGGCAAGAATGGGACCGTGCATAGTTGCAAGGTTGTTAGCAGTGGCCGGGGGGGGGCCAATCAACATAAA